GAATTTGCATATGTCATTTCCCTCAACGCAAATGGAAGAGATGGAAAATGCAGTCCGGCACTCGTGGGGGAGACAACCAAACGTGGACTTACCACTTCGATATCTTATTTGGAAGAAACTTGTGTGTGTGTGTGTGTGTGTATTGTTTGGTGGAGACTACCAAACGTGTGGTGAAGGAATCGATATCCTCTTCAAATCTCGAAGTTTGTAGTTAGCGGATTCAAAAATTCGGATCATTTAAAAGAGGGAGAGAGATCAAAACCCTTAGTTTGTGTAAAGTGAGTTAGTGGATAGGCTAATAGGATGTAGGATTTAAAATAAGTAATCCGAATCTTTGAATCCGTCTACTCCAAATACAGAGATCCGAAGACAATCTCAATTCGTGACGGAGACAACCAAACTTGGACTTAACCCTATATATATAACATATATATAGATGCATATTCTCATCCATCCATAGCGACCAGTACAGCACCAGAACCACATTGGACGTACCGGGGACTCTGTAGCACTATTTAATTTTTAATCGAGAACTTTGCGTGCCCACAAGAACGACAGGCTTTTTGTATATGCATCCATGCAGGATGCAGTTGCTTCAATACATGCATGTACGTATATAACCCATCCATGAACCAAACAACTATTTTCCTAAAAATTACCCGAGTCTTGGTTTAATTATTACAAAATTCAGCTGTCAGGCTGCAGTTCTCTGCAATTTTTTGTATTTGTCATGTTGCAATTTTTTATCTCGTTCTTTTCTGTTCCTTAATAATTAACAGATACACATCCTTTCTTTTTCGAAATGGCTTTTGTGATCTTGGAATTTGATGAGTCAATTTACTTTTCCAGTGCGGGACTACATGTCTTTTGAATAAGATCACTAACTTTGGAAGCTGTCACAACGTCACGTAACACTGTCTGTGGCAAAAGAAGCAGATTAAATTATTAATCCACTTTTTGCAAATTGCAGTTCTTGACTTGTAGTAGTGGATGTAGTCAAGGAAGAATCCTATTAGTAATAGAGTATTAGTCTTTACTTCGTCGTCCTCTTCAGCTTCTGCTAATAATTCGCTTTGGTAATGGCAATATACAAATCATTGGTTTCAAACACATGGTGTTGTGGAAGATCAAAGTTGCGCATATCGAATCTTATAAAATATATAAAATAATGTGACTTTGGATAATTTAAGAGAAATGCCAAGAAGATTATTAAAAAGATGACTTTTCACAGATTTTTTGTCATTTCACAATTTATTGTCAATATTGTGCCAATATTATAAAATAAGGTAAATTACACTTTACCACCTTATGTTTGGGATCGATTTCAATTCCTTATAACATCTTTAAAACATTTCAATTTCATACCTCAAGTACTATTTTATTTCAATATAATACATCTATTACATTTTCCATCAATTGATTCGTTAAGAGTTGACGTGGCTATGCCACGTGGCAAATTTTTTTTTTTTTAAATTTTTAAAAAAAAAAACCTAAATCTTCTTTTTTTTTAAAAAAAAAAAAAGCAAACGAAAAACGCAGAACCCAACCCCCACCTCCCCCATCTCTCTCCTTCTTCTCCAACCCACCAACCCTTTACTCTTCCATCCTTGCCCACTGACGTCTCCATCCCCACAAACCCACCGCCTCGCTGCCGCTACATTTTGGTCTCGGATCTTCGACCTAGATCCCCATTGACAAAACCTTCTTCCTCGCTGTCGACTTTGTCGGGGAAAGTCATATTCGAGACGGGCCTCTTCGCGGCATCGCCAAGTGGGTTGAGAGGGAAGAAGAAGCGGAAGAAGAAGAGAGTGGAGGAGATGGGTTTTCCGATCTCGAAGTCCTGCAAGGACCATTCTTTCTTCTAGGTTTCTTGCACTTTTGTTGGTTTTTGTTTTTGATTCCATTGCCCTTTGATTTTTGGAATGGATTTTCTGGAATTGAAAAGCCAGAGAGAGAAGGGAATAGATGATGTGGAGTAGCTCAAATGGGCTGGGTTCTGGGGTCGGGGGAGGTGAAGAGAGTGGAGGAGATGAGTCGCGGGGGGGGGGGGTGGTTTGCGGGGAAGGGATGGGATTCTGGGTTTCTTGGTTTTTTTTTTTTTTTTTTAAATTTAAAAAAAAATTGCCACATGGCATAAATGTGGCAGCCACGTCAGCTCTTAACGGATTAATGGATGGAAAATAACGGATGTATTATATTGAAATAAAATAGTAGTTGAGGTATGAAATTAAAATGTTTTAAAGATGTTGTAAGGAATTGAAATCGACCCCAAACCTAAAGTGGTAAAGTGTAATTTACCCTATAAAATAGTATGCCAAAAACATGACGCGGTAGAAAGTTTATAGAGAATTCCACTTTTAAAAGAGTCTCCTTAACATTTCTCTAATTTTAAATGGTGAAATTTCAAATTAAAGATGATAATAGGAGATGTTTTTTGCACTTCCATTTATTTATTCTTTCATTTTGTTCATTGGTTCTTCTCTAATTTGTTCAATCCAACAGTTTAGAATAAAAGAAACGAGTGCAGGCTAGAAGAAGAAAAATAAGTGCGGAAATCATTTCCTACTCGAAAAACTGTTTTACTACGAAAACGCAAAACTCTTGGTTCAACAAATAATCATAACCTGGATTTGCAAGAGGCCAATACAAACGATGTAAATGTTTGCTTCAGAAAATGGAGAAGCAAAAACAATGTTGTCTGTGATATATGATACAGAAACCGTGTTTCCAGTACTTAAATTAAAATCAAAGATCAAATAATGGCACTAATTTAGACGTTTTCATTGTCTCAATATTCTTCAAAGTGGAAGTGGTCTTCTCAACCAACAAGTAAGTGGAAATAATAAAAATGCCAATGGACTTTAGCTAATACTTCTTGTCAGTTTCTAATTTAGAAGGGACAATTAGGAGGCATATCAAATCAAAGATAAAAACTGCCCAACAAAACTTCACTTCTTGTGATGAATCCGGATCCTCTTTGTGAGAATTCCAAGGATCCGTCAATCTTATTCGTTTATCATATATCGTGTGATCACAAATTATTTTAAATATTTTTATTTAAAATGAAACACAAACAGTACTTAACAAAAACTGATTGCACAATGTACGATGAACGGGTCGACACGATTCATGGATCTTCAGGATCCTCACCAAAAGGATCCGAAGAGGATCCTGTTGGTCCTGTGATATGATTAATGTCTTCCAAGTACACCTATATTGCCAGTCCCATATCAACTTAAACCGCCACCAATTCTGATATTCAAAGACTATCATTAAGAAGCAATTGTTACTTAGGTATTGTGAATCAGATATAATTGTCACACGTTAGAGATGAGATTGTCCATGGATTAATATCAAAGTGAAATGACTCATTCAAAAAATTGATTCTAGTAGTGTCCAATTGCACCAGTACCTTTTGACCTAATGCGTCCGTGCATGGAGCCAGTCACATATAGACATGAACGGTAAAGTTGGAGATCGATATTAGTGCAATTGGAAAAGAGTTGAACGACTTAAACCCTAAATTGTCACAATAAAAGTCTTTTGTGTACAATATGTATATATGACAGCTACACTTAATTAAAATATCTCTCCCTTGCTTCCATGACTTTTTTTCATGTCCCTTCCACTTGTATTTAGCATTATTTTCTATGCATTGCATTGTAAAGAGACTATCTTTTTACTACTTAAATAGCTCAAATGGGACTCAATTTTTCTGATCAACTTGTAGTTGACATCGCTCGGCTGGCAGTTATATGCTCCCATCACCAAGGCGCCCTTTTCCAAAGATAAAAGATCAGAAGAAAGAGAGAGGTAGATGCTCTGTTCACTGTCTCAACTTTTCAGAAAAAAAAAAAAAAAAAAGGATGAAAACTGGAAAGACACTATTGTAATTGCTCAATCATGATCCATCTTTTAGACTTTTTTTAGCTAATCTTTTTCTTTCCCTAAAAATTCCTAACTTTCTGGAGGCTCAAACAGTCAACTGGGTCATTCACTATTCACTATGATTATTTACCTTGGGTATAGTTTTTTTTTCACACCAATTATGCTTTTGGTAAAATTCGGTAAAATTTTGAGTGCAATCGAGGATGCAAGAACATATAGATAAATGAGGTAAACAGTAAATTTCGGATCAAGATTTTCTCCGAATTTTACCATCCAGACTCTAAAGACAAGCAATCTGAATTACTCAATTGAATTTGACGATCACCGTTAATTTATTACAGTAGCTCACTTGACACAAAGTAAGAGCCCTAATCTCTCTTTCATATATAAACTAAAGGTTAAATTTCTTTATTGTCCGGCTTTAAAAATAAACATCCAAAGAGGATTCAAATTCCACGTACTTTAATTTTCCTCATTACACGGTTGAGAAATTTTTTTTTGCCAAGTGTATCCAAGTCAATTCGGAAAGAAGGAAAAAGAATAATAATTAAGGGCAAACAACTGGCTTATTAATTTGAGTCAGATAATGATTGACAAGTAGAAAAGTCCCAGCATATTGTTGGCCTGCAATATATGGATAATACAACAAGGAAATGATATTTAATAACCGACTATTTTATTTTTATTTTTATAAACCGTAGAAGGAGGCTGTATGCGATGACAGAGCCTCCATTTTCAAAGATATCGTTTTGTCAGGACTGCTATATTGTTTATTTCTAACATGTCTAGCATATGAGTGCAGCATACGAAAAGCTGCGTTGAAGTGACTCCGCACTGGTGCCAAGTGGCATACGACTTTGATCCAATTTGATTCATTGGTGATGCTTGTTGCTTGGCAATGTAGTTGACCTGCATAAAGTAAGAGTTGAGAATGGAGATAAGAGACACTATGTTTCATTTGGCATCGTATGATTAGTTTGGGCATTGTTATCTTGGCGTTTTCATTTTATGTAAATCATTATCTTATTATCTTATGTAACTCATTATCCTGGTAATAAATGATTCACATTCTACATCATCAAGCTGTATATCCTTTACCTTAATTAATATTTGACTATGCGCATGATTAGAATAAAAGCAAAACTCATGACAAGTGCAGAAAATTAAACTATTTCAACTGCATGTATATATAGAGAGACGGGCTCTGGGAAAGAGGAAAATAAAAGAGCTTTGGAGAGCAGTGGCTTTTGGGAAGCAGAAGGCATGGTAAAGGAGAAGGCTACGGAAGAAACCATGGTAGATGCGGACAAGGAAATATCAGAAGAACCCTTGGGGGCTACTACTCACTTTGTGCTGGTCCATGGCATAAGTCACGGGGCATGGTGTTGGTACAAAATCCGGTGTCTCATGGAGAGTTCCGGCTACAAAGTTTCGTGTGTCGATCTGAAGAGCGCCGGCGTCGATCAATCCGATGCAAATTCAGTCCTTTCTTTTGATGATTACAACAAGCCACTCCTGGACTTGCTGTCTGCTCTCCCTGAGAATGAAAAGGTCTTTTATTTGGTTCACTAATCATGATTTTTTTTCCATGTTTAATTATTGGAAACATGATTGGGGGATTGTTTTGTCTACTTGATTAATATTTTCTGTGCAGGTAATTCTGGTGGGACACAGTGCTGGAGGGCTGAATGTAACTCAGGCCACTCTCAAGTTCCCAAAGAAAATTCTCTTAGCAGTCTATGTTGCAGCCACAATGCTCAAACTTGGGTTCTCCAGTGATCAAGATTTTAAAGATGTAATATATATTTTTTAATTCCTACTTAATTCCTTTTTTAATTAAACTATATTTTTATTATGATTTAATTTGAATTTTACATGGGAATTAAACTGTGAGTAGGCAGTCATGCATGACAGGTTGAATACAATTTTGATTGGAAATTACTAATTAGTCAGGTCTGCTGTAGTTTGTAAGATCCCAATGTTGGTAATGGCTGCCAACTGCAATAAAAAACAAAATGGTTGTTCGGCCTTAATTATCTCCTAAGAAATAATTAAATAATTAATTACACCATTAGTCTTTGAAGCACATTTGGTGAAGAAACAAACCCAAAGTTGGTATTGTGGAAACTGATTAAATTTTGATTACAAAGTCATTAGTAGCCTTTCAAATTTTTTTATTCTATCACAATGCATAGCAATCATATAGTCAAATTAAGGCATCATGTTTCCAATCAAGCCCAAATGAATGAGATGGGGCCAATTACCTCTCTCTATTGTTTTTTTTTTTTTTTTTTTTTTTTTTACAAGCAATAACAAAGGTAGAAAAATCGAATTCTGAAGTTCAGTTTCAACGATGAATACTCTTAATTAGTTAACTAAGTTCCAAGTCTTTATCATTAATTAATTAATTTATTGATAATAATGTTTGTGTGAAACAGGGGGTGCCAGATTTATCTGAGTTTGGTGATGTGTATGAGTTAGGGTTTGGATTGGGATCTGATAAACCTCCAACAAGCGCCATTGTCAAGAAAGAATTCCAACGCAAAATCTCATACCAATTGAGTCCTCAAGAGGTATAAATAATATAAACCAATAATTCTATCACAAGTGGATTGAATAGTAGGTTGTGCCAACCTTTTCTTTCTTCTTTCTTCTTTTAGTGGTGGCCTCTTGGCAATTTGTGTTAGTCCTTTGCTTTGCTTTTGAAGCAAATTGGATGGTCTTGAACTTGTGCATCAGCATCCTTCACATGATGAATTCCAATATGTGCACTGAATTACTTTTTTTTTTTTTAAATTATTTTTTTATAGACTGACGTGCTGAGAAAATTTCTTTTATTCGATCTTTTGTTGTTGTTAATTTTGTCTAATTTATTGACATGGTAAATTCTTAACATGTAGAATCATCATGAAGAGCTTAGATTACTTTAGGGTTCTAGTATGGTTAATTCTTTTGGGTTTAGCTAGGTTAGTTTTTAGTTTATTCCACATTCCTAAGAGATAATACGTCATGCACAAAACCGCCCTTCACATGATTGATGTACTTGCATTCAAGTTTTAGTTCATCTTAATTAGTATAACACAAACATGTTAGGATTTTCCTATCAATCGTCCATGCACTCGTGATGATTTCTTGTTGTTGATAAAACGAGAGTCCTACTACGATTAACCGTCAAAGCATGGACTGTCGGTAGCATATGCAGCTCATGCACGCATGTTAATAATAATATCATCCCGATTTTCACACAGGATTCGACGCTAGCTGCTATGCTTTTGAGGCCAGGACCGCTCTTGGCAATAACGTCAGCCCGTTTCGCAGAGGACAGCGTCGTTGACAAAGTGCCGCGAGTTTACTTTAGAACGCTGCATGACCATGTCGTAAAACCAGGGCAACAAGAAGCGATGGTAAAGAGGTGGCCACCGTCGGAGGTCTATGTTTTGGATAGTGATCACAGCCCCATGTTCTCCACCCCATTTTTGCTGTTTGGCTTCCTTGTAAAAGCAGCGGCTTCTTTTGGTGGACTTAAATAGTAGCTAGGACTAGGAGCCTGGATTTTTCATATTTAATTGGCTTTTTTTTTCTTTTTTTTTTTTAAATAACATTGGGGAATAAGAAGATTTAAATTTCACCAATTGGATGTGTGGGAACATAGTTGTAATAAAATGATTGTGCATGGTAAACATGAATTTATGTTTTTTATTTTGGGTACAATTAGTATATGAATTGTTTGGTTACGTCTTTGGAGTGTGAGACATTTTCATATAATTGCTTTTGTTTTTGTTGCTTCTGCTAATTAATATCATCGAGTTTTTCTATCTTGGTCGTGGTTCTATGTTGCAAGCTGAGTTAGGAACGATTTTACATGGATTAAGAGTGGCTTCTCTACATAATTGATTTCCTCTTTTTATTGAGTATGATTTTAAAATTACAGGAGATATGTATGGTGCTTGTGATCCTTTGCATCCTCTCTTTAACTTGGTGGCTTCTTGTAAATCTTTAATTCATGGTGGTAGGATTAAACACACTTGGAAATTCTTGAAGATTCTTGAAGATTTATCTCTATTAAAAATCATCCACAATCAAAATTATTCATCTAAAATTTTAAGGAAATCATTTGAAATAACATCACTTTGACATCTCATTTTTCGATAAATCAGAAAGATAGTGAGGAAAATGTGATCAAACATGCAAACTATAAACCTCATTGAAAAGGAGACCTTTTTGGGATACACAAATCGCACGAAATATCTCTAAACCATTACTATTTCAGCTTCTGGAACTTTATCTTTGCTAACAAGGGCAGCACTAGTTTCAACTGCCTTCTCATCTGCACTAACGGCTGTCACACCATTGCCTCCAAAATCATTTTCCTCCCCCGAAACCTCCTCAAGCGACCGGCCCTTCGTCTCTGGCACCAAGAAATTAAAGAAGAATCCGACCAAATTAATCACAGCAAGCGCCTGGATCGCCTTTTGCACCCCTTCAACCTCATGAGTGTAACTCTGCAGCACAAATGCAGCAAGTATAGCCCCCGCTTTGCCCACGGCCGCTGACACCTCGTGGCATGTGGACCGAAATCTAGCCGGGAAAAGCTTGGCCGGCACGATGAAAGTCGTGCTGTTGGGTCCAAAGTTTGCGAAAAAAATGTCAGCCCATATAACAAAGTGAACAATTTGGTGTGACCCTTGCAGAACTCAAAGGTGGATTTTTTATCCTCACACTCCTATCCCCTAAGATTTCCGTACTGAAACCCTAGAACTCCCATGAAAATCGACATCAGTACAAACCCGCCGAGCTGGATCAGTTTTCTTCCAAGCTTGTCAATTGTGAACACAGTAAACCAGTAACCGGGGAACCGTGGCAAAAAGTGCTACTAGCAGCATTGCTCTGGAGAGCTTGTAGACTTCTTCAGTTGCATTCATTGTCGAAGGCCTAGGTAAAAGTCCACTTGAAGGGTAAATATCTTTCTGAGTGAGCTGGAGGCTGTAAAATGCAATGTCTAGCAAGAACCAGGTGGTGGCCGTGCCGCATAAGAAACTCCCTAGTAAACAATTCATATGTGGAATTTGGATCAACTAGGGGTTTGGTACCAGATTCTCCGACCCGTATGTCCCTTTCGAGGACTTTGGCCATGTCTGCATTGGCCTTGTCATGATCTCCCGCAACCAAGGCAGTGTACCTTGCAGTCTCGGGCATTTTTAGTCTCCAATAGAAGGTCAGAACTGCAGGGACTGCATCGATTCGCCACACAAAATCGTCTTCTGGCCTAGTGGAGAAGACAGGATTAGTCCAAAAATCATCAGCCGATAGGCTAGCAAGTATAGTTTGGACACGAACGTGGCCACGGCTCCTGCAACCAAAATGCCGATTCCTTGCATTGCAGACACAGCTGCAATGAACCCACCTTGGGTTTTTGGGTTGGCGTATTCGGACAAGATCACAGCCGAGAGGGGGTAGTCCCCTCTAATTCCAAATCCGAGCCAAAATCGGAAGAAACAGAGAGTTGTGACTACGCCTTGAGTACTGTGGCCAAAGGAAAGGCCGGAGGCCAGAGCACATCCACTATTGTGACTAATGTGATTCCATAAACTTTTTTTCTACCGAGTTTGTCTCCAAGCCAGCCAAAGGAGAGTTTCCCTGCTAGTCCCGAACAAAGCAACCCCTGTTATGGCATTGTTGATGTGGTTAGGCAGAGCGCGGGGCTTGTTCTTTGAAGGGTCGTAGTGGTAAAGGCGGCCTATGAGTTTTGTGACGGCAGTGATACAGAAGAGGTCATAAGCATCGGTGAAAAATCCCATGCCGGCAATGACAATCGCCTTGTAATGGTAGAGTTGAGTCTTGGCATTGTTGAGAGACGAAAATATGGTTTTTTTTTTTTTTTCCACCTGCCATGGCAGAAAGTTGTATTTTTCGGCGACTGAGTGACGGATTCGGGAAGGGTTTGCTAAAGATATAAGTGATGATTTAAGAAGATCAATGGGGCGGAGATTCCTCTGTTTTGTTTTTGATTTTGGAACTTTGACAGATTTTGGTTTTCCTTTACTATATTTCGAGAAATTTGCACTGTGATTAACGATTAATTTGTTTGAAAAGCCGTTAGTACCAAAAGGACACTAATGTCTGGGACAATTTTCTATATATATGTCTGTCTCTCTCTGTCCCTTCTTGTCTGGTATACAAATTGGCAATGCTGAACCGGTACATAGTTTGAGAAAGCTTGACATACAAGAAACGTATTCGGATGTATGTAAAATTGGTTTTTTTCTTCATTTTCATAGAGATTTCCTCTCAAATAATTCTGAATTTTGTCCAAATGTGGTCTTCTTATCATTTTTCATTCGGATGCAAATTGAATTTAATATCAACTTTTATATGAGCTGTTTGTGAGTGTGGGAGTATCGGTGTCAAGAGTTTGTCTATGTAGGGCTTTAACAGAACCTTGTACTGCAGTTACCTTGTCTATGTAGGGTTACTAAAATAGCATTCAGTTTCCTTCAGCTCCAGAAACCTTGTGCTGCAAGCAACAAAGATATATTTATGGAAGAGAAGATCTCAAAAATCTCTGATTTGATTATGTATCTAGTTCATATGGACATCATTCTACACGCTGAGGCCAGATTGATTTTCATGAGAATATCCAGAAGAAATGAAAAACGAAAAAATTCATCACAAGAGGTATCTTGGAGACTGGGTTGCTAATTGAGCCACGACGGCTGCTGTCTTCTTCTGGAGCTCAGGCTTGTTTCCTCCAACGAGTTTGTCCACTTGTCTTCCATCTTTGAGAAAAACGAATGTCGGAGTGGCCTTTATATCCCATGAAGTACTCAACTCCTGCAACCCCAGATTAAATGGAAGGAACGTTTCATTGGCAGCTGCAATTCTATAAATCTGGTCTACTCAAATCATGCAATAAAATAAGAAATCATTCGCACTTACAGCGAGAACATCAACATCCAAGGTTAGAAATAAGAGAGAAGGATATTTATCTGCAAGCTCACAGTAGGCTGGTGCAATCATAATACAGGGCCTACACCAAGATGCACTGAAATTTGCAACAACCTGTTGGACAGTTTTCAATAGAGAAGATCTTATGAGAGAGAATATTCGGGTTTAGGGTTACACATCATCTCTTATGAGCCCCATTTTGGTTACATTTGGTGCACGAAGGTTTGCTTGTTTATCATGATGTGAACAGGTCATTACATTATGTGAAATGACGGTAAGAAAATGTAAATTAAGTGAATTCACGAAATCAGGAAGTTAAGAGTGCTGCAAACCTACAATTTTTCCATCCTTGATTGCTTCTGATAACTTTTCCTCCCAACTTTCCATGGTCTTTATAAGGTGCACATTTCCGCCAGCAAGATGATGACCCTCTTGATGAACCTCATCGATATTGTGTCCGGAACACTGCAAGAATTGAAGCATTTTGTCAGAAGATATGCAGAAAAATGTCATTTACCTGAGAGGCTTCTATTTGCATACAAAGAAACTTACCATAGAGCAGCAAATTCCCATTGAGTGTGCACAGATGAACTAGGAATATATTTACCAGAAACATCTATCAAAGTAAAAATGAAAACCTTGTCAGGCAGCCAATACATGCTATTGCGACTTATCGTGTCAATTTGGTCTAGAGACATCCGCTTAGCATAAAATGAATAAAAAACCCTCCGAAAAAGGGTCCCGTTCTTCATTCCTCCAACTTTTTCTCCGTGGAAATTTACAGGCAGTGTTACATTTGAAATGAAGAGCAAACAAACCTGAACACCCTCATTTTTCGTATTACTTTGAGCTTTCGAATTTCAATGCCAAGTAAAAAAGATAGACAATACAAGGCTAATTGATGTTAATTTCATGAAACAATAATTTCAATGAGTGGAATGCTCATGTAAAATTTTATTAATTACATGAAAAAATATCCAAATTATGGAGGATGAAGGGAAATGTTTGATCAAAACAATGGCATTATGTCAACAAAGAGATGGGTTTGGATTAATTAGAAGATTTACCTTTGACAAGCTTTAATCTTCATGGTGATTAAAGCTTAATCCGCAACCAAGGATAAAGAAAAAAAAACCCCAGAAATTGGGATTAAGAAGATGGAAGAAAGGGATTATGATAGGAAAGTTGAATTTGTGGACGTCGATTCAAGAAAAATGGGAAAATTATATATTGCTCAAACGACAGCAGAGCTGGCTTGCCATATAAGGTGTAATTCATACAAATCATCAGATATTTGGAGTTTTTATTTGGACTAAACACAAATAATATGACAATATGAAGTAATATTAAGGGTTCGTTTGAAAGGCGTTTCTAAATGATTGAAAGTGTTTTTAGAGAAAAGTTAACAAGTTATAAAGGCACTCGAAATGCTTCTTGCAAGAAACACTAGTTATGCCTTCTTGTAGCCTTATAGGAAATATTTTAAGTGTTTTTCCATAATTACTTGCATTTTTATTAACGCCTTCAAGTTTCTAAACAGAAGTTATGAGTTGTAAAAATCCGAACTGAAATATAATGAGGGAAAATGTTTTGATTTTGTCTTTGATTGATAATGGTGGAAAAAACCTAGTACGTCCAATTGTTTGCAAAAATAAATTGTTAATGTTTGTTACGGAAAATTAGTTGTCATATTATTTAGAAGTAATTTCAAATTGAATTGTTTGACTTTACATACCTAACTATGACTATACCATTTTTAGGGAATTGAGTTAGACCTTGCACCGAAATTTTGTATTCGGTACTCTCATCCTTAATATCGCTTGTATCAACGAGAAAAACCTATTACAGACTTACGGAGTTGTAACTGATATTCTTGCACAATGCAAGTTCTAAAATAATGTTGGAGATTGTGATGCTGAAAACACAATAGCATTGAACATTATTTCCAAATTTCCAATTGCATTCCAAAAACAAGATGACAATGCTTAAACTGAAAAAAAAAAAAAAAAAAAAAAAAGAGTACTAGAGTTTTTTTTATGGGGTTTGCACATCAAATTCAGACTCGGAGGATTGCCTAGTTTTTATGCGGAGTTCCTCTATCATTCTGACTACTGCATCCATGTTGGGGCGTGTTTCGGGCAATTTTGTTACGCATGCCAAAGCAATCTGCACCATCTGCACCATCTCTTCTTCACTGTGTTGCTGTTTTAGAAGTTCCAAATCAAAAACCTCAGCTGTCCACTCCTCACGCACAACAGACTTAACCCAACGCGGGAGGTCAACCACGCAATCATAACTCGGATATTGAAGCGTGGTTTTGCCTGTCAGCATTTCTAAGAGGAGCACACCAAAGCTATAGACATCAGATTTGTGAGTGATTTTCCGCATGTCAATTGCCTCTGGAGCGCGATATCCCATGGCCCGTGACATGGCTGGAGGGAAGTTCATTAGAGGACTCAACCCTACGTCCGAGATGCAAGCCTCGAGTTCTTGGGTGAGGAGGACGTTTGTGGACTTTATATTGTCATGGCTAGATTTTGCACCCTCGGAATGAATGTGGGCAAGTCCCTTGGCAATCCCGAGCGAAATCTTTACTCTTGAATCCCGGTCTAGTGGAGACCTCCCAGCATCACTGCTTCCTACAAATCCATCGGAAAAACAACAACATCAAAGCCTTGTCCATTGAAACAACAAAAATAAATTAAAGTAACTATAATTATACATTAGGATTTAGATTAGGCATCATACCATGCAAGGGTGCAAACAAGCTTCCTGTTGGCACGTAGTTGTACACCAAAAGCTTCTCATCTTTGGAGAAATAATAAGCGCGAGGAGTCAGGACATTCGGGTGCTTCCCTACCCTCTCCACCACCTCCATATGCTGCTCAAACTCCCTCTTCCCCACCACAACTTCCTCCAACCGCTTCACTACAACCGTTGTTTCCTCATCCAATACAGCTTTGTAAGTTGTTCCGAAACTTCCTTTGCCGAGAACTTCAGCTGACGCTCTAGGCAGATCCTCAAGATCAAAATTGTAATAGCAACCTTCAAAGAAGAACAGCTTGTTCTTCTCAGCCTCTTGCACTCCACCCCCTAAATCCTTAGGCATCTCACCCTTGCACTCCATCATAACTGAGGATTCTCAACAAATGAAGAGTTCGAATATTTTTCGAGGGAATATGGAACCGAGCCATTCAAGTTGTTGTAGCTCAAATTCAAAAACTTAAGTGCGGGGAGGTTCAGATTGGGGATGTCTCCAGTGATGAAATTGTTTGGAGGTGCAGCGTAGTGAGGCGTGTAAGGTTCTGGACTTCTGTTGGAATGCTTCCGGAAAAGGAGTTGAAGGAGAAGTCGAAGACAACGAGGTTGGGAGGCAGAGAGGCAGGAAGCACGCCGGAGAAATTATTGTGTTGGAGGTAAAGGTACTCCAAGGAAGGAATGGATGGGATATCAGAAGGCAGACTTCCATAGAGGAAGTTGGAGCGGAGGCTGAGGACTCGAAGAGCATGAAGCTTCCCTATACTGTTGGAAGGGATGGAACCGAAAAGTCCAATCCCCGGAAGATGGATGGCAGTCACGCTCGTTTTGTTCAGATTGCAAGTGATTCCAACCCAAGACGTGCAAACTGGTGTGGAAGCATTCCAGTTGAGTTTTCGGATGTGGACAACGGTGGCAGCAAAGTTGAGGAGGGCTTGTCTATCCGAGTTCAGGTAAGAAAAAAGCAATGAAGGGAAAGGCGGAATAAGGATAAGGAAGATAAGCGTGCAAATGGAGACCTGAAGCTTCATGATTTTCTGCTCAAAAAGAAAATGATACAATTAGAAAACTCCGAAAACAAAGTTAACGAATCATGCAGAAGGGATACAGATAGCAGCGAAAATTCGTCTACATTTCAGGTTTAGGATGGCAAAGAGTGGCAAAGAACCACTCAATGACTTGGGAAAATCCCAGAGGATTGATCACAACTGTGTTTGAAAAGTGTTGTGCTAGATAAAACGCCTCGCTTTATGCCTCAGCGATTTCAAACTTCGGATCAAACACAACTCAAATAAAAAGGTGATAAAAGAAAACCCACTCCACTCAGCATCAAAGGTCACATAACTTGAGACAGATTACATTAGGGACAAATAAATATGCTAGCTAGCCTGTCTTAATTCTTATGATTAACATAAGAAATTGATTGAATTTCTTTCAATTGGCTGTTCAAATACAAATTCAACGCGTTGCATCAATTTTTACCTACTAGGAAAGCACAGAAGATTAAAAACAAAAACATGGATTAGTGAAAAGTAATCTCTATATTTAGACGGATTAATCATGGATTTTTTTTTCTTTTTTTTTTTTCTTAAATATAATTATTACACACATAATTAAGCTAATGACATTATATAGGACACACCAATATCAACTTTATTTGTTCATTAATACTTATAAAGTCATTACACTAGAATTTTCTTTCAAAGAAAATTCTAGTGTATTGACTTTATAAGTATTAATGGCTTTGGTATTAATTAATGAACAAATAAAGTTGATATTGGTGTGTCCTCTATAATGTCATTAGTTTAATTATATGTGTAATAATTAGATATAAGAAAAAAAAAAAAGAAAAAAAAAAAACCATGATTTCAACCAAATTTCTTCTTCCATTCTGCCAACACCAACTTTGGGTCGGTAGGAGGTAAGTCTAACTGGGATGGAAAGGCCGCAGGAGGTGTCGGTGTGACTTGACCCTCTATAGGATTGTTGACAGGTATCCCATACATATTGACCGGAAACTGGCTGGTTGACGAGACAGGGCGATCCGCAGTTGCAGAGCTTGAAGTGGGCTGCCCAATCTGAGGAGAGGTAACCACTGGAGGAGTGGTTGGTGGCAGGGGCGGAGCACTGCCAGGGGGAACCGGGTCTTGATCTTGCCAGTTGAATAAAGGACTTGATACATCAGGCGCTAGAGTTATCTGACGATACGAAACCTGGCCTTGCTTGACTGCGTCCAGCTTCTCCATCATTTCCTTTAGGACTTGTGCTGCAGCGCTTTCGTCTTCGGCAGTCGACATCTTTCTTGACCAATAAATAAAATTCTCAACAAGATACAAAACTTTACAGGTAGAACACTAACGGTGTTCCTCCTCATTAATCATGGGTTTAAATTAACTGGAAAATTTCAAGGTTCAAACATATAGAGGAAAAAGGAATGGCATCTCTACCGACTTTTGTAAATTGGGAAAAAGCAAAGTGCACCATCTTTAGCCAAAAGAAAAAAGAAAAAAAGAAAAGAAAAGAAAAGAGAGCTTGATCATTACCAAAATATAAGCTACAGTGAACCTTTTCCCCTAAAAGAAAAAAATTATGCACTTCAAAGTTTAAAACAAGTGGGAAAAGCAATCAAATATACAAGGTTAAGTGGTGACAAAGATGGAATCCAAGAAGATAATCTTCCTAAAGAAAAAGAAAAGAAAAACTAACGAAAAATGTTTAGAAACTTTGAATTTTAATCAAAAGGATAAAAAGATATTGTAAGTAAATAGTATCATGAGTGACTTTTAGAGTAAAAATATCATTTTCGTTAAACATAAACAGTACCATAAGTGTTTCGTTAAAACTTCCGAATTTCACATGATTTAGTTGCCTTTTGTTGCAGGTTTGCTAAAAAAAGAACAGTTACTTGGCTCTTTACCTATAATGAGTCATTCATTTTAAACTGTCAATCATTTGCTGATACATATATACAATTGGAGAAGCACGAAAAGAAAAGTTACTGCTGCTAAACTGTAAATCGAACAATCCCGAATTCTTACAGGTAAGAAGCCAAGTAATTTCCATGACGTAATTTGACTTGGGATGATCATTCATGCGTTTTAAGCCAAAGTGTTCCGGCAGATCTTACAAAACAAAAGTAAACTCAGTAAAGAACAATGCCAGAAATATACAAATACACTGATGCTTTATACAATTGTGGAAAAGAAGAACTTATATCTAAAATTTAATCATATGAGGCTCAGAAAAAAATTCTACCTGAAAATCTGATCAATCTGTCACAGATTTCTGTGCTACTTGAAAGTCAAGGGGTGTGAAAATATTTGAAGAGGCTGAGAGTGAGTGAGACACCTGGTTCTTGCACTTGCTTTTCTCAGGACGAAAACCAATGGAAAATGAACTTATTATTTAAATAAAACGGGAATATAATTTTTTTTCCCCTTAGTTTAATGAAAATAATAATAAATATACCATAATTGATAGAGAAACGGATTTTTTGATAAATTGTTGATTTTTTTTTCTTTAAAAAAGGGGATAAGCAGGTGCCGAAGTTATAACAGTCTATTATTTTAGGAGTTGTGAAGACTCATAAAACATTTTAACCTCTCTTGACCACCATCTTGTAGATCATTAGCATCAAAAATCAAACTCAAAACGAGTTATATAAAATCAGGCATAGAATTCGCTCCAACCACTAAACCACTATATAGTAATTAATGAATTGGTGATTGGAGGGTAAGAATGTGAGGTATGGAGTATAAAGGAAATAATTAAAATATTATTAAACAGAGGGGTCAATTTATTCTTCAACAGTAACATTGGCAATTATACGTAGGAATAACAAACCAGAAAAGCTAAATGCAGCTTTAATATAAAATAAATAAATAAATACAGGGCAATGGGGAACAGAATCCATGGAAGCATGCTTTACTCAAAGAAAGGACCGAGGAGAGTTGGAATAGGGACTGGAGAGCAAACTGCTCCCATGTCATTGTCCAGCCTCTTACTCGTCATTTTATTTGGTATTGGTTAGGAGTTGGGACAAATCATTGTTGCACAATTCTTGCCACAAAACTCGCATAATGTGCGAAGAGATGAATTTTGTTAGGGCTGTAGGATTGGGGTAGTTCTCACATTAAGTACCAGCTTGGTATTGTTGAAATTTTAAACAAAACTAGCATGCGATTAAGTGTTTTGTAAACATTTTAAATCGTTTTTTTTCTTCACATATTTAGGTAAAAAAAAAAGCCAAAAAGCTGAAACTGTAAAGACAGTTTTAGAAAACAGTCATGTTCATCTCATAAACGGATGAACAGTAACATTTGAAATGAATTTTTCAAGATTACAATTCTGCCCTCCGTTCTCTATACGCTATCAATCTCGAACCAAATCAGAAATTTGGGGCATCCTAAGTGGATTAGTGAGAGGGTCAAGTGTGACCAAAATACATGATTTCTTATTTATTTTTGGGAGGTCCCTTATATATGATTTTGAGAGGCATCCTACATATGACGTGATCAGACCAATTTTTTTCTCTAGTAGAAGGGCTTGTCCAAGACAAAACCTTTAAAAAATTTAAGATTCACACACCTTTAGGTACCATTTCAAATGTTTTTTTAAGAAGCACAAGTGCTTATCTTTTATTAGAAATACGTCAAATTTTTCATAAAAATTTAAGTGCTTTAAAGAGCCCCTTCTTCAAACGGTATTACAAGCGTGATTAGTTTTATAGAAGTAATATTGGAGATTGTGATGCTGAAAACACAATAGCATTGAACATTATTTCCAAATTTCCAATTGCATTCCAAAACAAGATGACAATGCTTAAACAGAAAAAAAAAAAAAAAAAAAAAAAAAAAAAAAAAAAATGAGTACTAGAGTTTTTTTCATGGGGTTTGCACATTAAATTCCGACTCGGAGGATTGCCTAGTTTTCGTGTCGGATTGCCGGAGTTCCTCTATCATTCTGACTACTTCCTCCATGTTGGGGCGTGTTTCGGGCAATTTTGTTACGCATGCCAGAGCAATCTGCAGCATCTGCACCATCTCTTCTTCACTGTGTTGCTGTTTTAGAAGTTCCAAATCAAAAACCTCAGCTGTCCACTCCTCACGCACAACAGACTTAACCCAACGCGGGAGGTCAACCACGCAATCATAACTCGGATATTGAAGCGTTATTTTGCCTGTCAGCATTTCTAAGAGGAGCACACCAAAGCTATAGACATCAGATTTGTGAGTGATTTTCCGCATGTCAATTGCCTCTGGAGCACGATATCCCATGGCCCGGGACATGGCTGGAGGGAAGTTCATTAGAGGACTCAACCCTACGTCCGAGATGCAAGCCTCGAGTTCTTGGGTGAGGAGGACGTTTGTGGACTTTATATTGCCATGGCTAGATTTTGCACCCTCAGAATGAATGTGGGCAAGTCCCTTGGCAATTCCGAGCGAAATCTTTACTCTTGAATCCCAGTCTAGTGGAGACCTCCCAGCATCACTGCTTCCTACAAATCCATTGGAACAACAACAACAACAATAACAACAAAGCCTTATCCATCGAAACAACGAAATAAATTAAAGTAACTATAATTAGACATTAGGACTTGGATTAGGCATCATACCATGCAAGTGTGCAAACAAGCTTCCTGTTGGAATGTAGTTGTACACCAAAAGCTTCTCATCTTTGGAAAAATAATAAGCGTGAGGAGGCAGGACATTCGGGTGCTTCCCTACCTTCTCCACCAGCTCCATATGCTGCTCAAACTCCCTCTTCCCCACCACAACTTCCCTCAACCGCTTCACCACAACCGTTGTTTCCTCATCCAACACAGCTTTGTAAGTTGTTCCGAAACTTCCTTTGCCGAGAACTTCAGCTGACGCTCTCAGTAGATCCTCAAGATCAAAATTGTAGTAGCAACCTTCAAAGAAGAACAGCTTGTTCTTCTCAGCTTCTTGCACTCCACTCCCGAAATCCTTAGGCATCTCACCCTTTCCATCACCCGCAGCCTTCCCTTTCAACATCCCGCCACCTACTTTGTTAGTCCGTTTCCAGCAGCATATGCCAACCACCAGGACTAGAAGAATAAACACTGCAGAGCACCCAAATGCCATTGCAATAATGGATCCCGGGCTGAGTTTTTTTATGAGTGTAGCATGGTGATTTTTCAGAATGGTTGGCGAGGGTGGCAAGAAAGCAGAGTATGCAGATGGGGTAGAGGAGGTGGTTTTAGAACAATTGTTGAGAGGTTCTCCACATAACTGAGGATTCCCAACAAATGAAGAGTTCGAATATTTTTCGAGGGAATATGGAACCGAGCCATTCAAGTTATTGTAGCTCAAATTCAAAAGCTTAAGTGCGGGGAGATTCAGATTGGGGATGGCTCCAGAGATGAAATTGTTTTGGAGGTACAACGTAGTGAGGCGTGTAAGATTCTGGATTTTGGTTGGAATGCTTCCGGAAAAGGAGTTGAAGGAGAAGTCCAAGACAACGAGGTTAGGAGGCAAAGAGGCAGGAAGCACGCCGGAGAAATTATTGTGTTGGAGGTAAAGGTACTCCAAGGAAGGAATGGATAGGATATCAGAAGGCAGACTTCCATAGAGGAAGTTGGAGCGGAGGCTGAGGACTTGAAGGGCATGAAGCTTCCCTATACTGTTGGAAGGGATGGAACCGAAAAGTCCAATCGCCGGAAGATGGATGGCAGTCACACTCGTTTTGTTTAGACTGCAAGTGATTCCAACCCAAGACGTGCAAACTGGTGTGGAAGCATTCCAGTTGAGTTTTTTGATGTGGACAACGGTGGCAGCAAAGTTGAGGAGGGCTTGTCTGTCGGAGTTCAGGTCAGAAAAAACCGAGGAAGGGAAGGGCGGAATAAGGAAAAGGAAGATAAGCGTGCAAAAGGAGACCTGAAGCTTCATGATTTTCTGCTCAGAAAGAAAATGATACAATTAGAAAACTTCGAAAACAAAGTTAACGAATCATGCAAAAGGGATACAGATAGCAGCGAAAATTCGTCTACATTTCGGGGTTAGGATGGCAAAGAGTGGCAAAGAACCACTCAATGACTTGGGAAAATCCCAGAGGATTGATCACAACTGTGTTTGAAAAGCGTTGTGCTAGATAAAACGCCTCGCTTTATGCCTTAGTGATTTCAAACTTCGGATCAAATCAAACACAACCCAAACAAAAAGGTGATAAAATAAAACCCACTCAACTCAGCATCAAAGGTCACATAACTTGAGACAGATTCCATTAGGGACAAATAAACAAGCTAGCTACTTTCTCCAAAAAAAAAAAAAAAAAAAAAAAAAGTTCTCCGAAAAATAAACATGCTAGCTAGCCTGTCTTAATTCTTATGATTAACATAAGAAATTTATTGAATTTCTTTCAAAAAATTACAGTGGTTGTTGACGCGTTGCATCGATTTTTACCTACTAGGAAAGCACAGAAGATTAAAAACAAAGACATGGATTAGTGACAAGTAATCTCATATTTAGACGGATTAATCATGGGTTCAAATTAACTGCAAAATTTCATGGTTCAAACATATAGAAAAAAAGGAATGGCATCTCTCTACCAACTTTTGTAAATTCGGAAAAAGCAAAGTGCACCATCTTTAGCCAAAAGAAAAAGAAAAAAAGAAAAGAGAGCTTGATCATCACCAAAATATAAGCTACAGTGAACCTTTTCCCCTAAAAGAAAAAAATTATGCACTTCAAAGTTTAAAACAAGTGGGAAAAGCAATCAAATATACAAAGCAAAGTGGTGACTAAGATCGAATCCAAGAAGATAATCTTCCTAAAGAAAAAGGGAAAAGCTCAATATTCTGTGAAAGATGGAAGGTTTGTTGTGTGCTACAGGTTTCCCTTGGTATTGTGCAGAAGTTCACATGACTTGTTTGCCTTTTGTTGCAGGTTTGCTAAAAAAAAAAAAAAGAACGGTACTTGACTCTTTACCTATAACGAGTCATTCATTTTAAATTGTCAATCACTTGCTGATACATATACACAATTGAAGAAGCACGAAAAGAAAAGTTACTGCTGCGAAACTATAAATTGAACAATCCCGAATTCTTACATGTAAGGAGCCAAGTAATTTCCACGACGTAATTTGACTTGCGATGATCATTCATGCATTTTGAGCCAAAGTGTTGCTGCAGATCTTACAAAATAAAAGTAACAATGCCAGAAATACCAACTCAGAAATATACAAATACACTGATGCGCTATACAACTGTGGAAAAGAAGAACTTATATCTAAAATTTAATCCCATGAGGCTCAGAAAGAATCTACCTGAAAATCTGATCAATTTGTCACAGATTTCTGTGCTACTTGGAAATCAAGGTGTGTGAAAATAAGCAAAGTATAAGAGGCTGAAGAGGGTGAGAGTGAGTGAGACACCAGCTTCTTGCACCTACTTTTCTGAGGACTAAAGCCAAAGGAAAATGAACTAATTATTTGAATAAAACGGGAATATAATTTTTATTTTCTCCTACGAAAATAAAATAAATATACCATAACTGATAGAGAAACGAAATTATTTGATGAATTGGTGGTTGTTTTTTCATTATAAAAAGAGGATCAGCTGGTGACAAAGCTAAGATAATCCCTTTTTTTTGAGAGTCGAGATGTTTCGCAATGGTTTTTTAGTTCCTAATGATCATCTTATGATTCATTATCGTTAGAAATAGAACTTGGAACGAGACGTGTGAAACACAGATCTAAAATTTGTTCCAACCACTCAATCATTCTAGGGTAGTTAATGGATTGACGATTGGATTCGAGGAGTTATGAGGTAAAAATGTCAGTTATGGAGTATAATTGATATGATTAAATAGAGCAATCAACTTATTCTTTAACAGTAACGTCGGCAATTATACATAGAGAGATTATATTCATACATCCTAAATTATTTTTTTCATACCTTTTTAATTTTTTAATATTTTCTACACACTACTAACACTTGATAAAAAAATATTAAAAAATTAAAAAAATGTAGAAGAAGTAATTTCGGATGTGAATATAATATCCCTTGTATATACAGGAATTGCAACAGAACATTTCTCAACCAGAAAAGCTAAAAGCTGCTTTAATATAAAATAAATAAATATAGTGGGATAGGGAACAGAATCCATGAAGGCATGCTTCAGTCAAAGTAATGAATGAGGAGGGAGGTGGATTGTCTGCCCTTTTATTTTCATATTTTTTTTAGGTTTTTTTGTGATGTATGGTCACGATTAAGATACGTTAATTTTTTATATTAATTTTTTATAAAAATAATAAAATAAAAAGTAATAAGAATAAAAAAATATTGAGTGGCTTAACCGTGACCACACAAACAGGAGGGCAGACAATTCATCTCCAATGAGGAGAGTTGGAACAGGAACTGGAGAGCAAACTGCTCCCATGTCATTATCCTGCCTCTTACTTGTCATTTTATTTGGTATTGGTTAGGAGTTGGGACAAATCATTATTGCACAATTCTTGCCACAAAACTCGCATACCGCATGAAGAGATAAATTTTGGTAGGACTGTGGATTAGAGTAATTTTCACATTAAGTACTAATTTGGTATTGCTGAAATTTTTAAAAAAGTTGATGCCTTTTAATTGTTTGGTAAATATCTTAAATCAGTTTTTTCATCTCATGACACAGGTGAACAATAACATTTAAAATAAATTTTTCAAAATTCCAATTCTACCCTCCTTTCTTTGTAGTATTGAAACCAGATTTGAAATTTGGGGCGTCCCAAGTGGATTGGTGGGAGGGTTAACTTAAATGTGACCAAAATACATGACTTCTCATGCTTTTTGGGAGGTGCCTTGTATACAATTTTGAGACGTGTTATATATATGACGCTATGAGACCAATTCTTTCTCTAGTATAAGGGCTTGTCCCGAAACAAAAACCTTTGTACTTTTTTTTTAAGAGTTACACATCTTTAGTTACCATCTCAAATCAAAGTTATAATAACTTTAATCGTTTAATTAAATTTTAAGAATTCAAATTAATTGATGAGGTGGATTTGATGAAAATGATACGTAGATGATACATTTCCATTATAATTATCCTTGATTTGACTTCAAACCCAACACTTTACACCACCAGAGTTTAAAGGAGGCAGATTCTGTGACCTCTCACTTTTCGTGCTTTTTGATTTGTGTGGTCACAATTAAATCACGTCAACATTTTATATTACTATTCATTTTTATCTTATTATTTCTATAAAAAAATTAATATAAAATGTTAACGTAACTTAACTGTGACCACACAAAATAAAGACCACACAAGATAAAAGAATATGAAAAGTAAGAGAGCAGAGAATCTGCCTCGGAGTTCAGAACCCTAATTAAATAAAAAGAAGTCGTCAACTCTCACATGGTAGGGTCCTCTATATAGTAAAAGGGTCTAATTTCTGAAACTTTTCTGATGGAAAACATGGTCCCTCAACAGAAGCATATCACGGTAATTTGTCTCTTCCGAGAGTTGGTAATTCCCAACAACTTCAGTACTAGTACTGCCAGGAAAACAGGAATACCGAACTCGTGATTCATAATCAAGTATTAACTTCTTATTAAAAGTGCTTTCAATTTTGTACGTTTAATTTATCAGTGAAAAAAAAAAAAAAGCAAAAGAATAATATTAAACTTGTCATTCATAATTAAGTATTAAACTCGTCAGTTAAATAAGTCAAATTGTATACATTTCACTCATCAATGAAGAGAAGACATCATATGAATTATATCAAATGCGTCATCCATAATCAAGTATTGAATTTGACATTTAATTGAGCCACATTGAGTGACAAGAAAATATAGTATATGAACTAAGACGAGGAAAGATATTTGATCTGAAATTGATGTCAGTGACTAAGACTAACCTTATTGTATGAGTAGTTTGTTGTTGCTGTTCTCGTATTTGATGGAAAGGGATCATCTCCAGATCTCTTCCACCAAATCAGTAAAGATGAGCCCTATCCAAAGGCTAAAAATAGGAGGTCCCTTTAAAAGTTATAATAACTTTAGCCGTTATATCAAATTTCAAGAGTTCAGATTTATTGATTAGGTAGATTTGGTGGAAAGGGATCCGTCTGTATTTGATATCCTTTCTCTGGTAATGTTATCAAGCTGATGTTATCTAGACAACCAATGCAGTGCGATGGATGGACAAACTCACGCCGCGTGACAGTTCTTTCACTTGCAGTTGCAAGGGACTATTTTGTAGGGTTGCGCACTACGGACAACAGTGAGTGAGATAGAATTAGGGTTTTCATTCTAATAATACGGAATTCGGTGTAAGAGTTTTTAACACTTATATTATTGGATCGGACATTACATGACGATGAACCTGTTATATGTAAATTGCTCTCAAGAATAAGAGGGTTGGTTTGTAGGGGTGGGCACTTAGAACCGAAACCGAAACACGAACCAAATCGAATCACATCGAACGGTTTGGTTTTGCGATTTTGAAACCTAACCGCAACATAGAAAACGGTTTGATTTTGGTTTGGCTTTTGAAAACCGCACCGAAACCGAACCGCACCGTAAATATTAATAAATATTTAATTAAATGTCCATATTAAATTTCATGTTTTAATTGGTTGTTTGTTAAAATCTATACACTTAGTACGGACTCAACCACACTAGAATATCATCATTCATCACTTTCTTTCGTTCATTAACTTGAAGGACCTTTGTTATTTTATACCATCACACACACATATATGTATAAGGGTGGACTAATCTTGTTATCAACAGTCGAACAATGATCTAATGAAGTCCACTCATTTGAAGCATGATATCACATATTCTAATATGAAAGTTTCGCTCACATTTAATGAATTCAAATTTATTCAACTTTTTTTATGATAAACATTGTTAGGGACACCCTTTTGTTGCACAAACATGTTTTAACATCACAACTGCATGCAACATGCTAATTGTTTACATAACAAATGTCTTTTTCCTATTGCTGTTGGGAAATGCTTATGTCTTTTTCCCATTGCTATTGGGAAATGCTTATTAATATGTTAAATTGCAAATTGTACATTTTTTCTTAAAAACCAAACCGAAAACCGTTTGAAACCGCACCGAACTGAAGCGCAAAAAAATTCAGTTTCGATTTCGGTTTCACTCAAAACCGCACCAAACCAAACCGTGTCCACCCCTACTGGTTTGTGTGTTCCGGCACACGGGCTATGTGGTTTGGAAGCCCATACTGAAGTTTTTCACGGACTTCGCATATTAGTCTTTGCAGTTTCATGGATTATGGTTCAACACCATAGGAGCTTTGAGAACTGAAGCAGATTTAAGAGTGAACTTTAAAAGATCATGGGCCGGTTCAACTTGTTTGTTAATTTCATGGAGAAATTGAAAGTTTCAATCACAAATGCTCGCATAGCTCCTAAGAATATGGCTTAAATATTACATCTTATAACGTAAAATTAAAGGTGCTTTATGGCTTCTGCCAACAGCTTTAGGTGTTTTCTGCAGTCCCAAATGGAGAGCAACCTACATGGAGCGGACGCTACAGCAGTGTATGTAAGCCCTTCCCAAATGGAAGGGACACTCACTTGAAAAGAAGAATCAAATTAACAATGTTTGATGACCAAGCAAGAGCTCGAATTGAAAGTGCTGGAAAATTACAAGACCTTTCACCCTTCATCCACATAAAAAACAGTCAAAACAATCGGAAGTAAGATCACAAAGTTTCGAAAGAGGATGAATATACAAATCAGAGAAACAAAGAATCAAAGCCATTCTTTCTGCTTCAGCTGTTAGTCTGTCATTCTTATTTGCCTCTTTGGGGCCATCTTAACTTCGAAATTTCCAAAGCTGGCTGTTTGTGGTACAAGGTAACTTCAACCAGTAAAACTCAACTCTGCAAAACAATGCAAGGGTAGCCGACACCAACAATCTGATATGATGGCCGAAGACTTGCGCATTACTTACAAACTCCTGTATTTGGAAGGGGCATGAACAAAATCTAGAAAAACAATCACTGTGAAGGGGTCTTTTCAAGCTTTTCAATTTCTTCATGGTGCTTTCTTTCGGCCTCCTGAAGTGCTTTTTCAGCATCCTCCTCTTCTTCAATCTGGTCAAGATTATCGAATTCCTTGGTTGCAGCCATTGCTTTCACAACCGGATCTCTAAGCTCAGCTATAAGTCCACCGCCAACTTTGTACTCTTCTTCATCACCAATCAGGAACAAACGCTGGTCAGGTCCTGATGCCATGGGAATGTCAACTGCCAGTAGCTTCATATCATACTGCATAAGAAGATGACACCCTTCAATGAGAAAAACTTGGCCATCCAAGTACCCTTCAAGTCATAAGATCAAAATATACGGCTTTTCAACACCTCCATCTACTAACTAACTAATGCAAAGCATCATTTGATTAGTCATGTCCCAGAGCATGCACTCAATCTGCTCTGTTTGACAGGCACTTAATCTGTTGTTTAACGAGGAAACTTTTTACCAGAAGAATCACAGCACACACTGCAGTATAATTTTACCAAGATACATTCTAGCAATGTACATTTACGCACCATCAACCAGTGCATGAAATTAGTTTAGTTTCAACTTCTACTTGCAAGCACACAAGGAGATCAAGGAAGAAATTTGAAATAAAAACGCATGCTTATGAAGAGAAAAATTTGGGAGCATCCAGCATAGCACAAGTACAAACCTGGCCTTTTTTCTTCTTTACTTCTACACTAACCAGACCCTTCCTCTCAGAACCTCGCACAGGGAAAATGAGGAAACACCGCTTGCTCCTAAAAGTTGGCTTGAACTTCTTCAGTGTAACCCCACCTCCGGACATTACATAGGCTCTTAGATCTGATCCAGAGAGAGGAGCACCCATAACCTCGAGAATCCCAGCAGATGTATTAAGCTTCCTCATGGCGACTCTATAAACTTTATCAGGATTGATTGTGAATCTCGAGCGGATGTGAAGGCCCTAAGAGTAGTAAAAAAGAGCACATAACTCTCAAGTAGTAATCTATAACGAAAAGCAAGATTGTCCTCTACCAGGAAAACAAATACACCAAATAAGAAAATATCACAATTTCAGTTCATGCTATCCTATCTGTAAAGGCTTCAACTTTTGATCATACATAGACTCCGAAAAACAGTAAAACTAAACCCATTGGAAAAGAATCTGAATAACTTCATTACAAATCGACCACTAGAGCTTGTAAACTATAGTTCTAAATGATTAACTTGAGTAGCAATTTGTGCATTCTTAGCTACTTATAAATCATTAAATTGACTAGCAATTTGTGCATTCTCTGCTACTTCTATGTCATTACAAGATCAGCTAGGGATTCAAAGGAACTTACAGCGAATGCGACAATGGCGGTAGAAAGGGCGAGGAAGCCATACTTGGCCATGCCTTCAGAGAGTCCAATGAAGGTGCTAGCAATCCCAAACATGAGCCGCCAAAGCAGAGCACACACCAACACTGCGCCAATTCCCAACAGCACCAGATTGTTCCTCTTCCAGAACGCCTCAATCTGCAACCCAATGGCCCCCTGATACCGCGAGAGAGCCGATGACACCGCGGAGAGCGGCTTATCAAACACCTTCTTGCATCGATTTTGCTGAAATTCGATGGCTTGACGGAGAAGAACCTCATGCCCAGGCCGTAACCGAGTCCCGGCCCGGAGTAGCTTCCGCCACCGCTGCCGGGAACTGGTTTTGGGTGAGAGGGGAATTGGGGAGGAGGCCCATTGGTGGAGTGGTAGCTCCTCCTGGCGGTGGAGAACGGAGGCGGAGACGGAGACGAGGGTTTTGAGATTTGATTGCGGTGGAATCTAAGCAGGCCTTGGATGATCCCAGACGAGGGTTTTGACATTTGAATTTTGGGCGTGCGTGTGATTTGGGGATTCGATTAGGGATTCGGATTCAGCTTCACCAAAATGCAGAGACTCCAGTCGGATTTCGATTTACCAAATTCAACGGCTTTTTTCACCTGCCCGCATTTCCCACCATTAAAAATTGGTTATTTTCTTTGCACTCTTGGGTGAAGACTCCTAAGCGCGCGGTGAATTTTGGGAAGCCGCCATGGATTCTGGCAGGTAACCGTTGTTTCCAATGGAAAATGAAAAACCCTGCAAATGGACCTTAGCTCAATTGGGAGTTGGTCAAAGTCTTAGCATTAGTGCGAGAAGCTGCGACATACGGGACTTGGCTACAATTCTCACCCCGTTTATTTTGAATTCAGATCCCCTACGGATCTCGTCCAAAGCCGACAGACTGCGTAATCGAGATAGGGAGAGAAATTGCGATTCTTGATTTTTGTAAGGTGGACCAGTGAGATAGATTAGCGATGATAATAAAATTTGAGATGAGTAATTCGACTAATTTGGTTTCTTAACTTCGAACTACAAGATTTAAAGAGGATTTCGATTCGTTTATTTATACGCTTTATTAAATACATCGTGGTACTGTAATTTTTCTAACTATTTTGAGCTAGATAATTGTACTATTGTCAGTTTCCATACAACATACATGCTCGTCAACAATTAATCAAAAAGGTCAGAAATTAAGTGTATAAGTGACTTCACTACTTGCTAATTATATACTAATCAATCTACGCGCTCAATCAAATTGGAATCAAATTATGATTCTTCCTTCTACAAAAAGAAAACTAACGAAAAGTTCAAAAAAACTTTAATTTTAATGAAAAAAGACAAATAAAGGTGCAGTAAATAGTACCAACAAAAAGGTAAAAATGTGATTTTTCGTTAAAAGTGAACAATACCAGAAGTATTTCATTAAAACTTCCTTTAAAAAATAAGGCATAAGTAACTAGAACTCTTTAGGAGAATCAATGCACGAGGAGATGAATCTTGGATCCCAAGTCATGATAAATTGCACACTATTTGTACCAAAAAATCAAGCCCTTGATACAAGGTTAACTCGAGCAACCGTGTTGCCAGTCCGACGGTGGTCGGGAGTCGAAATCGTTCACAAAAGAGTAGACCGACAGTGGTCAGGATGCAACGAGTGGCAAAATACCTCCAAAGAATGCACAACAAAATGATAAACCAAACATTTAGTGAAATGATACTGCATCTTTAGATAAGTCTAACCGGCATTCACAAATCGCAAATACCAAATACCATATTCGTTTGATTCGAACTAGACGAACCCCAAAAGAAATACTCAGCATGAGTTCTACATAGATGCTACGACAAAAGCAATATCATATTTCAAGCAGTCGATGAGGAAGGTTGAGTGAGGAATGCTTTTCCGGGTTGACGATTGGCCAGAGGACCATGGCATCCAAGAAGCTGCACAATCAAATATTAAGAATCATTAGTTACGAAGGGCTGATCATACATGTAAACCTTTCGGAAACTAAAGTAAATAGTAAGGTTGAAGGATGACAACACAGAAATCGGCATCCAACCTTTCCATTTTTGATAACTTGCATAACAAATAATAGAATGTAGGATATAATGAAAAAATCGTGTATTACCTTAGCGTTAACACCATCTGGCTGTATTCGGCCTTCCTTCTTGTAATTCACGTAATCAGCACGGCTAAACTTAGTGAAACCCCTGAGAGAAAGGATATCAAGAAGCATCAGCAATAAAAACTGAAAGATTCTTTCGTGAACAATGTCCCTAACAACTAATTGCAACTCGGAGTTTTGGTAGATAATTACTTTGAGGTTCCACCTAGAAATCTACTTATTTCCAATAAAATTTAAAGCCTATGGCACATTGATACCAAATTCCGTAAGAAGCATACCATCTCGAAAAAATCAAATTGCATCAAGACTTGAACTTGCAAGGCAGAAACATAAAAAGGCAAAATAACAAAAGCATACCACTTCCTGCTGACAATAATCTTTTGGCGACCAGGAAACTTGAACTTTGCGCGGCGGAGGGCCTCCTGTGCATGTTGACTGTTGCTATCCCTGCAGCGAACAGACAAGAGGACTTGCCCAATAGCAACTCGAGCACATGTTCCCAGTGGCTTGCCAAACGCACCTCTCATTCCAGTCTGGAGCCTATCAGCTCCAGCACATGAAAGCATCTTGTTGATGCGCAGAACATGGAACGGATGCACCCTCACTCTCAAATGGAAAGTATCTTTCCCAGCATACTTTGTCATGTACTTGTTGCAAGCGATGCGAGCTGCCTCAAGCGCCTCACTCGAGACATTCTCCTTCTCCCAACTCACAAGATGGACACAGAAGGGGAACTCATCAACACCCCTCTTCTTCATTCCAACATCATAAATTCTGATCTTGGGATCAGGGACACCGCGACAGAAACGCGATTTCGGGTATGGCTTGTTCTTAATCTGCCTATAGCACCTCGCAGGCCCTACAACATTACCAACCAGAACCACATTATCACCAAAACATGATTACCGCACAAAAGACTTTACAAATATCCAATCTAAACGAATCGCATTTATACAAATCCAATTAAAAAACGTACGATCTTCTCACGCAACAAAGAAATTGCAAAGTTTACACAGAAATTAATCATACTAAACCGAAATCACAGCATCTTAACAACAGATAATCTCAGTATTAACAAATTAATCACGTACAAAATAATCCCATTTCTGTGTTAAAAAACTGAAATCCACGTAAAAATCGTTTAAAAACATAAACTTCCAGATTAAGAACACAAAATTCAGAGAAAAATTACGAAAATCGGTTCAATTACAAGCACATAAGGTTAGATCGACATCAAAATCCATCCAGCACTAACAAAATGGTAAACTCGATTGGATCTTAACATACAAAACTCGATAGATACATGTATAATACATCGATGTGCGAAGAAGGAAGAAATAATAATATGAAAAATAAGATAAAAGCAAGAAAGAAGGACTCACTCCTCCCCATGGCGAGCTCTTCGATTCTCCTCCTCCTGTTTACGCTTCACGGAGGAACTCGCCTCACAAACCTTATCGCGGGCATTTTATACTCGGCTCCCCGCGAAAACCCTACTCCGGCCCAAGTGTTTTCATCACAAAGGCCCAATTAAAGGCCCAAAATATTTTTAATTAGGGTCAACCGGGCTCTGAACTGTTGTGCGTCGGATTGCCTGCTTGCTGCCTGTTATGTATTTCATTCTTCCGCTCCCTGGTTGGTCGGCCTGTCCGCCGATAATTTCTTATATGATCCACTAACTCGATACAAAATAAAAGATTTTAGATCAACTTGTTCGAATAACTTGTTAAAAATCTATAAACATGTTGAATCGTTATCTGATGACTGTTAAGAACTCGATAACACATCGTTTATCAAAGGTAGACAATAGAAATGACAATTTCTTATCTGCTAATTCGACACAAAATGATACGACTTTAAGGAATATTGTCGTTATAAAATCAACTATAAAGAACCTATTACGATAACCAGTTTAACACGACTCGATTCGTTAAGATACGAATATGATACAAAAAAGAAATGAACATGACAAACACATCTGTTTGCCAGACCTACTAGTAGTTGGAAAAGGATCCGAGGGATTTTAGGGATCCAATGATCTCACCCATTCATCGTACACCGTGTGATCAGAAATCATTTCAAATTTTAAAATTTAAAATTAAATATAAATAGTACCTAACAAAAACTAACCGTACAATATACGATAATCAGATGAGATCACATGATTCTTAGAAAAGGATCCGACCCTAGTAGTTGGTATTAGCTTACACTTCTCGCCGCATGACTTACATAGCCTAGCGACACGTGTAAGCTAGTACCAACGTGGCCCTCCCTGCTGACTTGTTGTGTATTTCTTTTTTTTTCTTTTTTTTTATTCATTTCTTTAGCTGCTAGCTCCTGCCTGAACTGTTCACCACAGACCCAGAGGATTCCAGAAAATCTCCAAAAAAGGGACGATGAAAATCCATCACGTAGCTTGCTTGGAGGACAACTACTCATACCTGTAAGCCCGATTCCCTCCTTTTCATCTGAATTTCTGATTTTCCTAATTAGGGTTTTATCAATTAACTATGCTTAATTATTGCTCAGTTCTAAAATCAATTGTTCTTTGCGATTAGAATTATTGACGAGAGTACAAAAGAAGCGGCGGTTGTGGATCCAGTTGAGCCTGAGAAGGTTCTGAAAGCAGCCCAAGAACACGGCGTCGATATCAAGCTCGTCCTCACCACTCACCACCACTGGTATGTTTAGACTTCATCATCCAATTTACCATTCAATCCCTCATATTCATACCATATTTGTTTTGGGTATTTAATACTTTCCAGAAATGGATATATGGGGATATATATCTTAGTTGGGTGGATGATTGAATATTTTTGCCCACCACCCATCAAGTGGAGAGAATTTTCAGTGTGTGGAAACACGGCCGGGTACACGTCATGATACCTGGAAAAAAAAAATTCAACTACTTGTATTATGACACTTGTTGTATTGGGCTATGTTACCAGCACACTAAAAAAGTTCTCCAAGTGATGGTGGAGCTCAACATCCTGTTTATTACTGTTAGATGAGTTTAATTTTTGAGATATGTGCAATGGATAGACACAAATCTCAAAATTTAAACTCATAAGTAAATATGGTGGTGAGCGTTACCACAACTTGATGGTGGTGAGCAAAAATGCATCCCGGTACATGATGTGGTTTAATTGTGTTTGCTGTTGTGCTGATACTGAACGTATGTGATAGGGATCACGCTGGTGGGAATGAAAAGATAAAGCAGTTGGTGCCGGTGATTAAGGTGTATGGCGGTTCTATTGATAATGTGAACGGCTGCACCAATAAGGTGGAAAATGGTGATAAGATTTCGCTCGGGGCTGATGTTCATATATTGTGTCTTCACACACCTTGGTATACGCCTTCCTATAGATATAGATATTTCGTTCATCAGTATCTAATTTTCATAAATCTGCCGTGTGATAACAATGTATTGGTCTCTGCACTAATTCCTTTCCTATTTTTGGACTGTGTGCTTTGAAAGTAGCAACAGCGTATCATTGCCTTTCGGGTACACGATTGTTTTCAAGTTCTGCATTTGTTTGGGATCGAAGCATGGGTGCATATAGTTGTGATAGAGAATAAGAGGCAATCTAAAAATATATTTGAGTTGTAGAACCAGCTGATCAATTGATTTGTTGCTTCCATGCTATCTTAGCAAATTGTAATTCTACATTTGCCCTTTAAGCTTGATGGTTTATTTAGTGGATGATTTAACCTTTTCAATGTATGTACCAAAACCTTTTCGATGTTTATAATTTCGGTCTTGCTTTCACTAGCCACACTAAAGGTCACATAAGTTATTATGTGACTAGCAAAGAGGGAGAGGACCCAGCTGTTTTTACTGGAGACACACTGGTAAGTTTGCATACTTGAGTTCCTTAGTCTAAGTTTTTATCTGAATGCACTGTGCAAAATATGAGTTATTGCCTTGCATAATGAAGTCGATATCTCATCTGTCATGGATTTCCAAATAGTTTGAAAAGCTAGATTTCATGAATGGTGTCAGTTTTGTGTGGGGTGCGGGCGGCTAGATTTTATCTTTAGCCCTTGCCTTTACCATTAGATATGTTCTGACTGTCCTGTGTGTAGTTCATTGCTGGTTGCGGGAAATTTTTCGAAGGAACCGCAGAGCAGATGCATCAGTCACTATGCGTAACTTTGGCTTCATTGCCAAAGCCAACCCGAGTTTACTGTGGCCACGAGGTAAAAGAAGACTCTGGTTATAGTGACATAGTCAATACTATTAGAAGTTGTATTCGGATCAGAAACTTAATGATATGTTTTGTATTGTTCCAGTACACTGTGAAGAACTTGCAATTTGCTCAAACGGTTGAACCGGACAATGCGAAGATAAAGCAGAAGCTATCATGGGCACAGCAGCAGCGTCAAGCAGGCCTTCCCACAGTTCCTTCAACCATCGAGGAAGAGATGGAGACAAACCCTTTTATCCGTGCCGATCTACCAGAGCTTCAGGTTTGCTTATTCTCCTACCATTTCATGGTTCGCAATTGGAATAAAATAACAGATGAAATCTTATGGAAACTGATGTCACAGTTTGTAACTGAACCCGAAGTGTTGTCCAACAGCACGCATTTTATCGCCAAGTTGTGCCATACAATGCTTCCTTGTGAAGAAATATTTACTTGTTTTACAGGAAAGGGTCGGTTGCAAAACTGCCGTTGAAGCTCTTCGGGAGATAAGGCAGCGGAAGGACAATTGGAGGGGTTAATTGACACTCCGTACATGTCATCTTTCTTTCGGTTTTTCGTTTCAACAGAAATCGGACCTTATATATGTAAAGACAATGTCTTTTGTTATTGTTACTTGTTGGTTGGACCATGAATGTCTGTAAAACATATGTCGACAGTCGACACCTAAAACGGTTCCTTTCCTTTTGATGTATAATTATTGGCTTTATTATTGTTGATTTCGGCCAACCTACCCCATGAGAGTGGGCAGGTAAGTTGATTATTGTTTGATTTCTGGTCTCTCTGAATTTTTTTTATTAAAATATAACTTAGTGGTGCCACTTAATAATACAGTCTGTTTGTTTCTCGTTAAAAATGAGTTTGAAACACATTATTACCGGTTCATTATGAGATGCAGATAATATTACTTGTTCAAAAAGCTTGGTGGGGCCTTTTCTTCTCCGACAAGTAGGGATGGGCAACGGTTATGGCGGACGGGTAACCGCGATTATTTACTCGTAACCGTTTAAGCTTTTATCCACATAACTGTTTACCCGTTGGATATTTATATAAACGGGTATATTCATACTCATAACCGTTTATAAACGGTTAACCATACTCATAACTGCATACATATTTACCTATAATCGGGTACCTGTTTACTTTTTTTTTTTTTTACCCGTCTAACTATTTTTTTAACAACTTGAAAATTAAAAAGAAATTTGTCCTAATTTTTTTTTCTAACTATTAAATACCATTATAAGTACATTTAACATGTATTTTTATATTAACGTCAATATTATTTATGAATATATGCGATGTCTTCCAATTATTTGACGATCAATCTATTACAAGAATCATGCATGGTTGTAGAATAATTAATATTCTTGTATACATATATATATATATGTATGTATGTATGTATGTATGTACGCTTCAGTATGCTAAAAGGCTAATTTGATAAATATTTGGATTTTTATTTAGAAACATATGTTCATCAATCCAAGCCATTTAATCGATTTCTAATTTTGGGGTTAAATATTTATTGAAAACTCGAGGCCAATTAAATATATATATATATATATATATATATAGAGGTACTCATCATCTAATAATAACATGTTTCTAAATGCTTAAGGTAATTATTATCTTGAATTGGTCAAAGCTTCAAAAGATTCTAAAACAAAATTGTCGAACACTAATGCTTTATCACATTCAATCACATATATTAAACATTAGCCCATTCTATCAACTATATTTTTCTCTCAAGAGAGGCATAAATATATATATATATATATATATATATATATTATGACCCTTTATAACCAAATATATCTCGGGGATACTAAACCTAGTTAGAAACTAATTTATTTATTTGTTAGTTTTACATATGTTAAAATAAACGGTTAAATGGGTACCCGTTTATAACTGCAGGTAATACCCATAACCGCTCATTTAAATTTCACGGGTAAATGGTTATACCCATAATAATTTATTTATCTAAACGGTTACCCATAACCATAACCGTCAAATTTAAATGAGTGGATAACCGTAGTTACCCATAACTAATGGGTATTTGCCCATCCCTAGTGAGGATCCTCTTGACCAAGCCCATCGACCCGTTGAAATTTTATCTAACGGCTACAATTATTATAACTTTTAGAGGAGCTCCCTATTTGTAGCCGTTGGATAAAATTTCAACGGTCCGATGGGCTTGGTCAAGAGGATCATCACCCTTTACTCAGGAAAGGATCATGATCCGCATGTTTTGATATGGATCTAATGTATTGCACAGTTATAGGTAGGGTCTAATAAGTAGAGCAATTAAAGTGTTCATAATTTGAAAACAAAATTGCACCGACTGCCGTTGAATGTTTTATCATGACTCTTCCAAAATTAACATGGAACTTTAAATTACACATCAAATCTCATCATTTCATAAAAAACTCTCATCTTTTTTAGTGTAAAATATATCGTTGTATTAAAAAAAAAAAAATTACTCATCAAATCTCGTCTTTTCATCAGAAACTCTATCCGACTCCAGTTTTGAATTTTTCTCACAATTCCTACATATTAGTATCCAAATTTGAATTTGAATTCACATGAAGCTATGAGAACTACAAGTAATTTTACATGTTTTCGTTGAGTCGTTTACAACAGTAAGCTTCATTTTTTCTGGTATTTGTTTCATGATTCTAGTCTACATGATTCGCCAGCATTATACATTGATTGTCTTATGTAAGTAATTGCTCAAGAGGCTTTAGACACTGATTGTGTTAGCTTCAGGGGCTTTTAACGTTACCAAGATGGAGGACTACATCTTACTGTTAGAATCATGTAAAATTACTTATTCCACCATGATAGGTAGTTACAATATGATAGGTAGTTTATATTATAAAAGATCAGTTGAAATATAAGTTTATGCCGACTAATATTATAATATGATAGGTAGTTTAGCTTGTACAAGTACTTATATGACATGTAGTTTAGACTGTAAAAGTACTTATATGATAGGTAGTTTATATTGTAAAAGATCAGCTGAAATGTAGGTTTATGCCAATTAATAGGGTACCTGAGTTGAAAAAAAAAATAGAAAAATAACATAACTAATAGTGAGGCCCCCCAAGAGATTTATAGGTGTCCGAAATTTTGGAAATGTCCTAAATTAATTTTAGAAATATGTGGTGCGAATAAAATGACTCTAACTTTGGCTTATAGCACACAATTTTTTTGTGAAAAAAAATTTTTGAAATTTTTAGCTTTAAGAAATATTTTGCACTGGAGTTAAGGAAAATATTGCAAAACCTTTGGATGTGATCCTACCGATTATTAGGTACTTAAACTATTTTTATTGATTCTTAAAGTGAGAAAATAGAAAAATATCTTTAAATTTGGGTTTTAAATCATTGATTACAAGTGTTTAAAAATGAATTATAATATATTTTGCATGGAAAAAATATATTTTGAAAAACACGAATATGATAGTTTGTTGTTATGTTAAGAGAAATAAAAGCAACATTAACAAAATAAAAAATAAAAATAACAAACTGAAAAAAAATATTAAAAAATTTTTGAAAAGGGAGCGATCGGTATGAAGATAGCGACTTTTTCTGTAGTTAGTCGCTATCTTTTTAGCGATTATAATCAAGGACAGTAGCTGGAAAAGTACCGATCGTATTATTTTCTATTTTTTTTCTTTTTCCATTGAATAGCTATAGTAGAGTAAAATAGTAATCACAATGCAAAGTATCAACCTAACAACATAAAGTGCTGACACATGGAGTCCTATTCATAGACCTAAATAGAAAAAATAACTAAAAATTGGACTAATCTAATTGTTAGGCCATAAAATTGGGAAAGGGATCCTTTCCGGATCTCTTCCACCTAATCACCTAATTCGGATCCTTGAAATTTAGTCCAACGGCTAAAGTTATTATAACTATTAAAGGGGCCCCCTGTTTGTAGCCGTTGGATTAAATTTCAAGAATCTGGATTGATTGATTGGATGGATTTGGTGGAAGGGATCTGGAGAAGATCTCTTTCCGTAAAATTGGACCTATTTTAAGTTACATAACAGATTTGTAAGAAGAACTTAATTAAACACATATTAATGAAACTCTTTTTGTCAACTATAAGAGGGTGAAAAAACATTTTTGTCTTTTATTACAAAATAAAATTATGGACAATAAAGTAATTTGCACAAACTAAATTTTACAGTTGTTTTTAAAATCATCATCTACATGTAATCCTGACAAATCACCTACAAGAACTTCGGATTTTTACTCGTGTATTGTTTTATGAATCTTCTAATTTCTATGGCACTTATTTTCAAAACTTCAAGTTCGAGTTTAAGTACGAACTCTATGTTCATGATACCTGCAAACAAACATAATATACATATGTAGTGAACGGGAATAGCTTCAGGACCTATGTGTGAAAAGAATGAGTGACAACTCAAAATATGGGACCATCGTGGCTTGCAGGGCCAAAATAGTGGTTGTTGGGTTGCTGAGCAACAAAGTAGAAGTAAATGGGTTAACATATTATATACCCAATTATTGGGCTAAGAAGGAAAAGTGAAAAACAAGGCCTAACTCATGGGCTTGTTATGTCATGCAAGCTAAAAAAAAAACAAGGCAAAAAGAAAAAAAAAAAAAAAACAAGTGGGACGGTTTGGTGCATATGCCCAATTGGGTTGAGGGTCGATTGTAGGCAGCCCAGGTCTGTAAGAAAGGTGATGCGAAACGGCTTTGTTTTGGATCTTAGAGTTTTGGAGCAGGAACGACTTGGTGGCTCGGGCAGCGCGGCTTTAGACTACGGCTCCCATGCGTGCAGGGTTTGAAAAATCCCATTTTTTTTCTTCTCTTATTCACGCATATTCAATTCACCACAATTATAAGAACAACAAATTTAAGTTGAATCCATAATTTGAAGAAAAAAAAAACGTAAAATTAGAGTTCATGCTTCATGGTAAATGTTTCATGCAATCATTGTTGAAAAAATATCGAAATTGAAACTATGGTTTATAGATTACTTGGATTGCTTGATGAATATTGTGAATGGCTTTGTAGTAAACAAGCATTCAGTTCCTTAGCTCAGTGTCAGGAGCGTGTTTAACAATACGTTGTGACCTAAATTTAACTGAAGGAGAGAGAGAGGGGTGCAGCTGCATAAAGAGAAAAGATAGGCTTGGGAATGACTGTGATAATATTTCTCTGTACCTTGTGCCTTTTTAAAGAAAAATAATAGGGTTACTTGCCCTACAAGTAATACAAAGTTGTGTCTTTTTGTTTTTTGTAATTATTTTTTGAATTGTTTCTCACTAACATTAGTAGTTGTTGAAATTATAAATACTCAAGTAATGATTTATGTTGTAAAATTGGTGTGAATGCCCACATAAAGAAAACAACCACATATGGCTTAGGGTGGAAAGTGAAAGAATAGAAGTCAAAATAATATTGCTTAAATGGTAGAAGTTTGGTTTTTATTGTTTTGGTATGTAGGTCTTTTACATGCATTAAAAGAGACGTATGCTTGTATCGTATGAGTAGTACAAAAAGATGAAAAGCAGAAAGTATTAATCATGTTTTCCTTATTTGTCCTTCTCTACATTCATTTCTCTTATCTGATACTACTGAAGAAAATAAATAGAATAATACATGGCTCCCGTTTCACTTCAATCTCTAACAACTCTGATAATATATATATGTACGCATCATCTGATAATAACATGTTTCTAAATGCTCAAGGTAATTGTTATCTTGAATTGGTCAAAGCTCCAAAAAACTTCAAAACAAATTTGTCGAACAATCTAATGTTTTAGCACATTCAATCACATATATTAAACATTAACCCGTTCTATCAACTATATTTTTCTCTCAAGTGAGGCATATATATATATATATATTATATGGCCCCTTATAACCAATTATATATCGGGATACTAAACCTAGTTAGAAACTAATTTTTATTTTTTTTTAGTTTTACATATATTAAAATAAACGGTTAAATGGGTATCAATTTATAACCACGAGTAATACCCATAACCGCCCATTTAAACTTCACGGGTAAATGGTTATACCCATAATCGTTTATTTATCTAAACGGTTACCCATAACTGTAACCGTCAAATTTAAATGGACAGATAACCGCAGTTACCCATAACCAATGAGTATTTGCTCATTCCTACCTACAAGTAATCTCATAATTCGAATCCATATTATGAATTTTCTTTATAGAAAATGACCCTCATTAAAGAAATTAAATAAAAGCATATGGCACCTGGGAAATGCAATTAAAAAAAGAGAAATAATTAGTGGAGTTGTTGGTCGATTGCATTGTCCAAACTCCGGATCGGGATTGAATCGGTTTCATCCTAAAATTGAGAACATGTCAACTACGATAGAATCGTTTGGTTTAGTTTTAACAAATAATTGAAGAAATAGAACTAAACTGAAGAAATGTTGTACAGTTGAATCATTTTCACCCTAAATTTGAGGATGTATCAATTACAATAGAATCGTTCGATTTAGGTTTAACAAAAAAAAAAAAAATGAAGAAATCGAACCATACCGAAGATATGTTAGACAAGTAGATTTAGGCGATGTTTGCCTTCAACCTAATTATTTTTTTCTTTTGCATTTTTAAACTTTTTTTAGTAGTGTTCTACAATTTTCATTTGTTCAGTAAATCGTCTTAAAATTTAACCAGTGAGCAAACTTCAAACTTCAACATTTAACAATTTCTTAGGAAAGGGATCCTCTCCTCCAGATCCCTTCCACCAAGTTCACCTATCCGGATCATTAAAATTTGATTCAACGGCTAAAATTATAATAATATTTAAAGGAGCTTCATGTTTATAGCCGTTTGATTAAATTTCAGTAACCTTGATGGGTGAACTTGGTGGAAGAGATCCAGAGAGGATCCCTTTTCAATTTATTGCACTTCAAAATTGTTATCTAATCACAAACCAATGAATATACTACACGTGCAAACCAGAATAATTTAAAGATTAATACGTAACCGAGTAATTTAGTTTAACTGAGGCTAATTGATTTGATTCGGTTAAATACTCATAGACATTTTATCAAAACCAAATCAAATTAGCCAACCTGATAGACCGGTCAATCCGTTTGAACTGACCGGTTCGGTAAGTTCGACCGGATTGGTGACCACGCCGAAGGTGGAATAAAGTCAACACGTTACTGCTAACGGCCAAAACAATGCCAATGCAATGACGATGAATAAATAAATAAAATAAAATAAATAAACAAAAAGCAAGACAGAAAAAAGAGGGGAGAGGAGGGACCAACGAGGAAGCCGACGATGCGTAGCTTACCGTTCATCTTACTCGAGCAAGAAAACGAAAGCTTTGATCCCCAAATTTTGGTTCAAGCTTTGGAATTTCCAGTCGCAGCTCTCTCAGTAAATAGGGCGGCCCCGTTTTATTCAGTCTGGTCTGTCGTTTTTTGAGTGCTTCTTCTTCAACGGTCGGTCGTCTCTGAATCCGTCGCCGTTTCGTCGGTACAAAACCGAAAGGTTGGTTCTTCTGAAACCCCAAAGAGAATATTTTTAGGGTTTTCGGTTTTCATGGAGGTTTCTTCCGGAAGTAGTAGTCCCGCCAGTGGGGGAGCCACTGGGAATAACAGCAACAGTAACAGCAATACGTCGTCGTTTGGGTCTAGGCAATTCCCCGCCCTCCGGTTCTTCCAGTCGCCGCTCTCATTCGTATTGGATTACTCCGGAATACTCTCTCCCAGCTCTTCCCGCCGCGATTCCGATGCTCCCGTGGTCAACGCTGGAGTCGCTGCCGATTCTCGGCCACACTCCCCTACGGCCTGCACCTCCGGGTCAAGCAACACCAGGGAGGTTTCAATTCGGATTATCGGCGCCGGCGAGCATGTGGACCGTGGGAACGGGGGTGCGACGGTGCCTGTTCAAGGGGAGGAGAATGGTGGGTCGCTGGGTAGGCTTCATTCGTTGGATAATCAGGCGGGTACGGTCAATGGGGTCGGGTCGGACGAGAGAGTCCCCTTGGTGGCTCCGTCGTCTCCGGACCACGCTGGGGATACTGGGAATGGCGCGGAGGATAGTTCTAGGGATTCTGCTTACCAGAGATATGATATTCAGCAGATAGCTAGGTGGATTGAGCAGATTCTTCCGTTTTCGTTGCTCTTGCTCGTTGTCTTCATTCGTCAGCATTTGCAAGGTACAGACTTTCACCACTTGCTTACTAACTTCAAATTTTAAGTGCCTGTTGTGGGTTATTCTAGTTGTTCTTAATTTGCAATCAGCTATAATTTGCTAGGATTTTGGCTTTAGCTTTACGTTTGAATCAACTAATGTGTAACGAAAAACTCGGCCTTTGCTTTGTAAGTGTGCAGCTGTAGTGTTTTCGGTTCTGTTTATGTTACTTTAGAGGGCCTATGCTTTGCATTCTCTAGTGTATCTTTGTTTTGCAGTTTGGATGGAGCTAGGATTTTCTTGGCCCATTTGGAGTTGAGTCATATCCATGTTCTTTGGTAACGTTAACAGTTGATGTTAAAGATATAGAAACTGTTTCTAATAGTCGGTGACATAAAATAGAAATACTAGCTTTAGGGAGCTCAGTGCTTTGTTCTTATTATCAACTATCATAGAGATGCCAATGTGAGAGACTGTACCATCGTACACGAACACTTGAAATCTTGATAGCAAGTTTTTTTTTCCGCCAGGCCGCTTAATAGTTTTCAGTCCTAAGAATAACTAAGTCTGAATATTAAGCTTGTCGGTTGCTAAAAAATATCCTTTCTCATAAATGGTGTGATTAAGCTGTCAATGGCATTATCTATGCAAATGAATGGCGATCACTTTTTCACCTAAATGGTTTTAATGCATTTCTCTTGCATTTTTTTTAGGCTAAAATTATTCACACACCCATTTTTACTTCTCTCACACCCTTGTTAATTTTTGGCTATTGATCTTCTTCAATTCATTTGATCCGATGACCGAAATTGAGAAGAGTGTGTGAGAAGTTAAAATGGGTGTGTGGATACTGGATAGCACTACACTTTTTTTATTACTGCAGTGCTGTATTCATTTGCTTATTGGATTGTGAACTTGCAGGTTTCTTTGTCACTATATGGGTGTCAGCTGTCATGTATAGGTCAAATGATGTTGTTAAGAAGCAGACTGCTCTAAAGGTGATTTAATACATCTTTAATTCTATGAGATTTTTTGTAGATTCTTCCGCTCTAAGATATGCTCAAATGCCAGATCAAATATCTTAGACAATCATTGGTTTCTGCAGGGAGATAGAAAAATCTCAGTTCTTGTAAGTATTGCTGGTGCTTTTGTGCTTCATGTAGTTGGTGTTTACTGGTGGTATCGAAGTGATGATCTTCTGTACCCATTGGCAATGCTTCCTCCAAAAGCCATACCGCCTTTCTGGCATGCCATATTCACCATTTTGGTAAATGGTAAGGAAACGGTCTTTTTTGCTATAATTATTTTGTGAATACAATTGTTTTACTGATATATTAGATGTAGAGAAGACGGCTGATCTGTTGCAACCGTAAGAAGAGGATGTAGTGGATGTTGGGGATAAAATGACAATATGTTTTAAGTTTTGTATTGAAATCATCAACTTGTTAACTTAGAACCCATCTGTTAATGTGGGGTTGAGCAGTTGCTTTTTCTGGTTCTATATAGAATTCATGCTTCTGTCCTCTGTTTGCCCCTTTAATGTTGCCTGTTTATTTGCGCTATGCCACTGGCCCACTGCTATTGTAGTGCAATGCTTGTCATTCTTTGAATTTGTGGGAGAGTTTCTCTAAATTCTATTACTTTCAGATACCATGGTGAGGCAGGCAGGGATGGCTTTCAAGTGTTTGTTGCTTATATACTACAAGAATGGCAGAGGCCATAATTATCGTCGGCAGGTGATATGATGCTGAGACTATGAATTTCCATAATCATATCATCTTCAAGTATCTCATAATTTGGAATTACTCTCTGAACGTTGCTATCTCATTTTGAAGGGTCAAATGTTAACTGTAGTTGAGTATTCACTGTTGCTGTACCGGGCCTTGTTACCAACACCTGTTTGGTACAGATTTTTCCTCAACAAAGACAATGGGAGCCTCTTCTCCTCACTTACGACGGGATTATATTTAACTTTTAAGCTAACATCTGTTGTTGAGAAGGTAAGCCTATAAATAGTAAGCTGTTGTACTGGAAGATAATGATATACTCTGTGGCACTTGAATTCAATCTATTAGTTATATTTTGTTATATTGCCTTTTAGGTCCAATCCTTTTTTGCTTCCATAAGAGCATTGTCACGAAAGGATATCCATTATGGGTCTCATGCAACATTAGAAGAGGTATGACATCGAACTGAATTATTTGATTTACTTTGGATTCTGGAAAGGGTTGAGATCACTTTTTTTTTTTCTTTGACGAGTTTAGCCTCAAGTTATCATCCTTCATTACCCAAGGAAAAACAAGCTCTACCCATCCTTTATTTATCCTTGTTTAATGTTAATCTTTGACATACTACTCTTGGTTTGTATTGTCCTGATACCAAAGTAGAATCTTGTTAGTAACATAAATTTTGAAGTTTTTATAAGTTCTAATCTTTTATTTATAAGTAACATCTTCCTGCCTTTTGGTAGTGGTGTGCCTTATCCTTAAGTTTCTTGGTTAACTTGTTTACTGGAACAACTTTGAGGCTTCTTTCCTAGCTCAAATCAAAACATTGATATCTCTTTTCATGCTACGAGTTCATCTAATAAGCAATGATGATGATTTTCCTTGTATGTGCACATATGTTTTTATGCATGCAAGCATGTCTATGGAATGGCCAGTTATAGCTTAACATTTGTCACCTAGAAAGGTGGGTAATTGTTCTTGTCCCCTAGGAGACACTTTGGTTAGAACTTGGGAGTTGTTTTCTCCCTAGGTCCGTAGTTTCAAGTCTGGTTCCTCCCTTGCTTCTGCATGCATTAAAGCATGTTTAGTGTTACGTAGTGAATACTGTTATTGTTTTTCTGCCTAAGCTGTTACTTACGCATTCTAGCTCACACGTGTATTGAATCAGGTAAATACAGCGGGAGACCTTTGCGCCATTTGCCAGGAGAAGATGCATGCTCCGATTCTGTTGCGCTGTAAACATATTTTCTGCGAGGATTGTGTCTCTGAATGGTTAGCTTATTTTCCTTATGTTTCTCATCAAGTTTTAAAATCAATGATCGCGTTATTATATCAGAAATATTGGAATGTGAGTTTCTTATGGTTTGTCTTGTAATGATTCTTGCCTGTTGTTTATAAGTATTAATGATGAGCCAAATAACTCTCTTTAAAATGGTCATGGCCTTGGAACAAAATTCTGCGGCAAGTTTTGCTTCGCGCCAAGTAGTAGGGACCCATCTATTTGCTAGTTGGGTCAACTGCATGACACTTTTTGTGGATGTTGTTGCTTTGTAATTAAACTAGAATCCTACTAGGTCACTACTGGCTGTGGCTTGATATTTTTTATGTTTCAACTGTTTTACAATGTCGTAGTGCTTCGCTTATGTTCACCTTTTAACCCTTTCAACTAACTAACAACTACTTACCTTTTTTCAGGTTTGAGAGAGAAAGAACTTGCCCGCTATGCAGGTCAGTAGTAAAACCTGCAGATTTGCGAACATTTGGGGACGGATCAACGAGTTTATTTTTCCAGTTTTTCTGAACTCCGAGTGTTCTACGTGTGGAGCGTAGATATATGAGCAGCATTCTTGAGACGGTCTCGCTTTGGTTTTGTTATATAGGCAAAAATGAAAGTATGTCTGATAGCGTTGTATCATCATTAGGTTGCCTCCAGGTAATCAGATGCAAGGTATAACTAGAGGAGACGAGATGCGGATCGATATTATGTCAATATGTTGCAATCATGAGGTCATCCATGATCCGAATGGATGATGAAAAACAGTAGATGCAAAACCGTAACCTCTGATAACCGGGGGACCTCTTTTCATGTGTTATCTCCTTTGTACAGATACAACTCTCCTCTCTCTTCACTAATAATTACAAGTCATTCTCATGCATCTCTCTTCTCTAAGTGGAGAGGATTTTGGGTGCAAAAACAACTTGACTGTCTAATCGCGAACACAAAATAACACAAAATACCTCACCTACCTTGTATTTTGGTCGCACTTAACTCCTGTGTCCCGTAACTGCGGACTAAAGAATTCTTCCTGTTACGAGAAACTGATTAGGGGTTTTATACAAAGGTGAAGTGATGAACAGCCGAGGCACTTGCCCTATTTCCGATGTGAGATTAGCAAGTAACAAAAGATCAAGGTTAAACGAGTTAGAAATAATCTAAAAGAATGTTGCTTGACAAAAAAGGGAAAACAAAATTATTGGAGTATGAAATGCACTCCTTACATAACCTTTACAAGGACATAAATAAGAGTTACTAATTCCTTCACATGTTTACATACTTTGAGTGGGTGAAGTTATGAATCCGCAAACGAAGAAATGAGAATGAGATCAAGAAGCCTCCCAGTTAATATGATCTTTTATTTATATTGCATTGGAATATGGATTTGAAGTGGATTTGTAGCAGAAATCCACACCCTTTTTATATATTCCATACGTTAGTAAACTTAAGATAATTAGAACGTGAAATAATTATAATACTCATGTTTTAGTAAATGCAGAAAAATCAAGAATCAAAACGACCGATATCATTTCACGTAAGTGAACATGCTATTGCATAATCCTTTCAAAACCCTCCATTTAATTATCTGTAGGGCTCGTTTCTAACTATTGTCCAATTGCCTTGCTATTTGAAAATTCCTGGTCCAAACATGCCATTACACTTCATGACGTAGCTGCATGCCACGAAATGCAATATATAAGAAGCCTAAGTGGTCCATTAGCTTTTACATTCAAAGTCAATAAACTTTTTAAGGTGGTTTTTTTTTTATTTTTATTTTATGAGTGACATGAATCTAACAAGGATAATGCAGGATCCAGAATTGTTGGTGGTCCAATGACATAGCCTGGCTTGCTGTTGCTGCTCCCCACAGTATATGGCTCCAGAATTGTGGAATCAAAGTAGTACCATCGTGGTCATCCGTCCAATCTTCATGTCATTTTTTAGTGCTGAAAAAAGTAATACAAAAACGGCTCATGCATTCACACATTTGGTCAATAATCCAATATTTTACTTGTTCACTTTCCTTATGCTAATCAAATAGTTTCAGTCTTTTGGGACCACAATTTGGCAAAACCCTTTATTTGTTTTTGCATAATGGATCTTTGGCTGAGGAGTTGACTCCTATAATTTGCATCATTTGGTTATTTTTTTGGCTTCTTGGGCATTGGAAGTTTCTGACTGCTATCAGTTTATTACAATATTTCCCCTTCATGTTTACCAGCAATAGAGCCTTCGAAGAATCTTTGGACCAGCAGGCTAGGGTTTCCCCAACATCTTTACTAATAAGCATCTATTTCCTTATTGTACATGTAACTTGATAGGCCTACTTGAGAGTTTTTTTAGAATAGTTAATGATGTGTTTGAGATTGCTTCTGAAAGGGTTAAAAGTTTTTTCTTTTACAACTAATTAAAAACACTTCTGATTACATCTAACATAAAATTTAAAGAGCTATAGTTTGTAGAAGCGTTTTCTGGAAAAACACTAGCTAGACTTAAACATGTTCAAATTTTAAACACTTTTAGCATAAACGTTTTTGAACAAAAGTGCTTTCTACATAAAATAGTCATAGACTCTCGGGCTTCTAAAAAATCAAAAGTGCTTTTTGTATATCAAAAACACTTTTATATATAATAGCGTTTACAAAAGTTCCAATATGTTTCTAATAAAACCGATTCTAACAAAACCCTAAAACATCAGCACCCGCAAACATTCTCGTTGTAATTTGATTTCTAGTTGGCCATGACGCTAAAACCAGACTGAAAATTGAGACCATCTGGTCTTTTGGTAGTGGCTACGATAACGCAGGACTGACAGTCGTTCAGCAATTGATTTGATTCTTGCGCACTTCCCCATTGAGCAATGAGTGTGTGTAGATTTTATGCCATGGTGAAAAATCGGAATATTGCAGTCTCTCAGAGGCTCAGACATTGTATACAATATGATGATGGCAAACAAGACTAGCTAAAAAAATGCACAGATGCCCGTCTGGTTTCCACAATCAGAGAACCGACTGAATTTGTGCATTCCCTCCTTAACACCCGATACAATCAGAATCTGGAACTGTAGCTATAGCTAGGTCCGAACTCGATGACGGAATAGCTGTGCTAGGCAAGGGCTATGGCTGTCATGTAAATTTGTCCATTTTTTTCAAAAAATTTCATCCCAAAGAAACAGTACCTATGGTGAAAAAATTGTTAACAATGATAGCGTTTCTCGTACATCACGTGAAACAGGATGATAGTAAACCTGTCTCGGTAGAAAACGATATAAAGGACATGGACTTGACTTATGAATTTGTTTGTCTTTTGTGCGTACATACCAACCCTAAAACTGAAAGGATGCCCCCCTACTGGCTACTACTGCCACTGTGGTGTTTACTGTTTAGAAACAGAACAATTTACATCCTTCATTGATTGCTCGCAGAGGCTTTGAAAGGAAAACCCCAAGTGGTAGCTACAGTGGGAGTGGGACTGTGGTAGTGCACGCAGTAGGCTCTCAGAGAGAGACGTGGGCTGTCGGTTGTCCACATTCCATAATATTTTTTTGGGTTAATTGTATTTTACACAAGAAGTTTGGGAGTCATTTGTAAAATCCGCTATGAGTTTTCAATTTTTGCATAATACATCACGTAGTTTTTGAATTGCATTAATTTAACTTTTTTGTCAATTTTACCGTCTAATTAAACTTTAAGTGTTAATGTAGCATAGACTTAAGGCACATTTTAAGCATGTGTTGACCATCAATTTTAGTGTATAGTACTTTACTCTTTTAATCATTTTATGAAATTGATAGTTAACGTGTGCTTTAAATGTGAGCTAAGTCTATGTCATATTAGCATTTAACAGTCTAATTAGTTTGTGAAATTGACGGAGATGTTAAATTAGTGCAATTCAGAAACCATGTAGTGTGATATAATGTAAAAATTAAAACCGCGTGTTTTATTTTGCAAACGACATCCAAATGTGTAACATATAGTTAACCCTATTTTTACCATATTTTATTGTCTTTGCTCAAATAAATTGCTTTGTATAAGATGAAGCTTTACTGCAGTGGTGGAAAGTAAATGTATATGGGAAAGAGATCATTTCCGGATTTTTCCCTCTAAAGTCCAGGATCAAGTGATCTGGATTTTTAAAATTTGATTCAACGGCCAAAAATTATTATAGCTTTTAAAAGTTTTTGCTAACTTCTCTGTTTTTAACCGTTTGATAAAGATCCAGATCACTTGATCCTGAATTTTGGAAGGAAAGATCCGAAGATGATCTCCTTCTATGTATATGTAGTGGAAATCACATTTGTGTTGATTTTTTTGGGTCAAATTAGGATTGATGTATGTTATGTACCATGATGACAAAATGCTACAGTACCAACCCCCAACTCATATCCAATCCATGTATTATGTGTGTGTGTGCGTGTGTGTGTGTATTCTTCTCCTTTGTTTGCGTCAGCCATAGTGTTGTTTACATGTGCGTGTTGGGGTGGGTGAGTGTGACCGTGTGTGCGTTTGAGAGAGAGAGAGAGAGAGAATGAGAGAGAGGAGAGACTGCTTAGTATTATCTCTCACAAATCCTTTCTTGGTTATCTTCGTGATTATCTTATGGTGAAAAATCTCCTGAAAGAAGAAAGGTGACCACCCTCTCTCCTCTCTCGCCTGCGTTAGATTTGCTTAGATCTTGAGTCGCTTTCCTGTGTCTGACTCTCATATGGCCATGGCGACAATGACCCATCATTTGCTTTTGCCTTGGACATATTAAAACTCTCTCTCTCTTCTCTGCAAATCCCTTTTCTTCTTCACCTGCCAGGAAAATAATATGGATTAGGGTTTTGAACAACGCCTCTAATTACTTAGATTCTAGGGTTTCGTAGTAGTCTCTTCCACTATTTTGTGCACTGTTTGTGGATCCTATATTCTGCAGATATGGAATACTACTAGCTGCTTGGAAGTTTCATCACAAGTCAATGGTTTCTTTCCTGTCTCTCTATATATTGGTACTTATGTAGTTTTTATTGGGATTGGGGGGGTTTTACTCTCTCTTCTAGCTGCAGTACTTTGGTCTGATTTTGTATTTGGTCCATTTGAATTTTGTTTAAATTGATTTAGTCTGAAGCAGAAAATGGGTTTTATTTGTAAGATTTAAGTCTGTTTATATTACTATTAGCCTCTTCTTTTAAGCGATATAGGGTTCTTGTATGATTAGGCCTCTTTGTATTTCAGTTTGCTAAAGATTCACTTGTTAGCTTAGCCTCCTCAAAGAACCAATTTTTTTTTCAACTGTAAAAAAATATGCCATCTTCTATTTAAATTCACTTAACGAGTTATTTTTTAACTGTAAATTTATATGCTCGTGATGAAACTTGGGTTCTTATCAGTAAACTACTCTAGATTTCTGAAATAGACAGTCTTAATTTATTGTAGCCTTCTGGGATTCATGAGAATCTGAGATAATCATAACTTTAAATTGTGCGTGTTTGACCTACTCAATGAATTAGAAAATTTTGTGGGTAGTGATAAATAGCCATATTTCGGGCTGAGAAAAATATTCGCACTTTTGAAGTCTATATATCTTTACCTATTTAGATCTTCCCTTTTCCCCCTAAGAATCCATGGAAAGGATTAGGGTTGCTCTTAATTAAGCTAAGCCTTGGGCATTTTTTTAATGGAAACAGCTCTCGATATAATGAAATAGCAAGCTAGCCCACTTCCATATGAAAATTTGACTAACGAACTCAAATCTCTTTTTTGGACTAAGAATTCAATATGTGTTTGTTTTTAATTTGCAGATGCTGATGTTGGTTTCATTGATTTGAGTGCTTCGTAGTGAAAGTGGTGCACAGTAGCACTAGTTGCAGTTACATGGTGGGTTTAATTTCCATGAGCTTAATTTATTGGTTTCTATGAATGTCAGAAAGCAACTTACCGTACGACGGATTGAAGGAGTGAATGTGTAGGCCAGTAGAAATTAAAATGTTGCATGGTGGGTTTTGCTTTATTAATTGATACAAAATTACTATGCAATACATCAATTAGGTCTAAAGTTACATGGTGAATAATGAAGAAATGGTGAGAGAGAGCTTTCCTCAGTCCACACATGGATAGGATTTGATAGGGTTGTCGAAGTAGCTGCCGACTCATTCACTCAAGCACTCAGTAGAGATTAAAGGAGTATCCGGCTTGTCTTATTACTTTCCTTCATTCCTGCTGCACATACATATGTTGCTCTCAGATGTGGCACTTCCAGACCGGACTAGAAGCGACTGCAGATGGACCGTCATCGGATGTGGGACTTGTGCCTTTCCGAAATCATCAGACAATTTGCTACTGTGGTTGTGTGAATGATGCGGGAGATATTTTACATCCCTCTTTCTCTGCGCTTGGACTGAAGGGAGCTCCTCCTTTCCATTCTCTCCACTTTTCTCCATACTTTAGTTAAGGTTTAGCTGCCAAAATTTTAATTAGTTTCATATGCTTATATATCAGTTAAAAGAGTTGATCATTATCATCGTCATTCTTTCCCATATCTTACGTGCTAAAGTTAAGTGATGATTAACCATTTGATATTCTCTCGCAAGAAATACTGTTAGCAACTGTCAATCTGACCCGTAGATTAGGTGGTCTCTTGTTGAAAAGTGTTGTAGTTCAAATTTATAGTTTGGCAAGTAAATTGTTGGATGTATACAGCAGGCAGATTCTCTGCCTTCCCACTTCCCGTGCCCTCCTCCTGTGCTCTCTATTTGTGTGGTCACGGTTAAACTATGTCAACATTTTATATTATTATTTATTTTTATCTTATTATCTCTATAAAAAAATAATATAAAATGTTGACATAGTTTAACCGTAACTACACAAAACAGGAGAGCATGAAAAATGAGAAGGTAGAGAATCTGCCTCCATGTATACATGCACTTGTTTTGTTTCAATAGTAAAAAGCCCGTCCTGAATTTTGGACTGGGATCACCTAATCCCAGCTTTTAGAGCAAACTAAGCAAAGCATTCTATCCTTTCATTTTTATCTTGCTTTGTTTTGCGTGAGAATTTTTAAATATTTAAATTTATTTTTGGCCATAGTATCAAAAATGAAAGAATGAGATGTTTTGCTTAGTTTGCTTTCGAGAGTAAGATCCGGAGATGATCCCAGTTGCTGAACTTCATGGGTTCTACTTTCTAGTAGGTGTACTCTAGCTAGGACTAATGACCATGCATATGAAGAAGGGGCCTACGTCGAGTGCCTTCTCTTGTCCATTGAGTTGATCACAGCTTTCCCATTGTCCTCCTGTAATCAGTTTACCCAGTCCCCTTCATTTCCTCTGCTTTTTTCACCCGACAAGAAAATCTTGGGCAGGTGCTTTTATCTCTATTTACCTTCCCATTTTTCTAGATAATGTTTTCAGTCAGTAACTTTTCCCTTTTCCTCATGTACTTCAAAGTTCAGATCATGTGCATGCCGTGCCAGTAACATGCAGCAGCATCAAGTACCATGCTTGCACTCACCATTCATAACATTTCACTGAAAATTTTCCATGAAACTGTGCTCTTTTTCTAAGGTTACAAAAAACTGCGTTTTCTGCAATATTGGCCAAGCATTGCTCTGCTTATTTGTGTCTGTGTGTGTGTAGGTATACACGTATTATATATATATATATATATGTATATTTGAGGCAGAAGGCCTCGATTCTCATTCCTGCATTGCATGTGTTCATCGAAAGACGTACCTTTTGTCACATTTTTAACTTCATCTGGAGTTGAGCCGTCCGGTCTTCTATGCTGTCTTGTCTTTCGTTGATTTATTATTAATTTTTAATTACAGCGATTTATCTAGTAATATCAGATGCTTAATCCGTACTTAACCAGATACTTTAAAAATAATTGCCATATTTGTGGAACAAGTAAGGAAATTAAAGCCAGCATTTTATATATTCGAATCAAAGCTTTGTTGGAGTTGGGTCTGTATTTTTTAGTTATTTCTGGAACTGGACGGTGAGTGGTGTTTAAAGTTTGATTATGTGGCGATGTGATGACTGTATATTTCCATATTTGGAACGAATGGAGTTCATTCCTTAAGTCCTCTTTTGGAAATCAGCTTTCGTTTTAAGGAAAATTGCTGAGACAAGCTTGGAGTGCGTCCACTAGCATCTGTAGAATGTGCTGCAGACTGAACTAGGTTGTTTTATCATTGTGATCCTTTTATTATTTATTTTTCTTTTCAGGAGTTTCAAGTTCCAATGTGGTTGATGCAGCTCCAGTACTGTACTTCATTAGGATCAGTTCAAATTTATTGTTTTATTATTGACTATAATTTAAGTTTCGTAAGAAATGTGAAGGAGATTTTTTTCAATAGTGTAATACTTCATGGACTCTTTGTAATTTTATAATATAATGTTAATTTCGTGCTAACATTATAAAATATTGTGCCCAAAATATGAGTTGGTAGAGCGTCAATTAAGAGTCGCTATAACAATAGTCATTCTGTAAATCATATGACGTGGTTGTTGATGATTGAATTATTACTTAAGTTTTGATTAACATGCTTATTTCATATTTGTGACTTATAATACGGTTTACAAATTTGGTCTGAAAAATAATCAAAACTTTTATTATTTTCACCGTTTACACGATTCTTTTTGTGTGTGTGTTTTTTGTTTTTTTTTTTTGAGTAATGATAAATGACCAATATTTGCTGGTGGTAATTCAATTATAAAGCAGTTGTTAAGAACATAGAATTTTTAGGTTTTGGTGTTTAGAAAGAATATTAAATGATGAAAATAGAAAATATAATTTTAACTACAGTATTGCTTGTCTATTTATTTAGAGGCTAACTACATCTCCTCCTTCTTAGTGAGGACAATATCATTTGTTCAAATAAAAAAATAAAAAAAAAGACTTGCAATTTGAAAAGGTTAGTACACAAGGTTGCTATTATTTTTATATATCATTTGCATTAGATGATCAGTTTTCACTCCTCCAATACAGCTTTTAACAAAAAGGAAAGGGAAAGAATAAGGGATAACTTGATATAGATCCAATTTTGTGAGCCATTAGTAGAATTAGTCCACTTCATTGAAATAGGTCCAATAATTGAGATTCCATGTATGTTTATTTATGGTTTGTACCATATTTACCCCTTAGGCTTACGAATTGTAGTAAATACACAAAATTTCTTAATTATGAGATAATTTGTGGTTTAACTAATCCCTTAATTGTAGGATTAGTTATAGCCGTATAATCACCTCAACCCCCAGTCTGTTTCATCCCTCATTTTTTCCTTCTTCCAAACAATTCCCTTTATCAATCCTCCTCTTTTTTGTCTCTTCTTTTCATTGGTGATATTTTTGTGTTCTTCCCTCCAAATCCGTTCCTTTAATGGAGGTATATTATATCATATTTATATTTTTATGTTCCGCCATGTAGGTTGCCAGCATTTTTCTTCCAATACAATAGGTAGTTTATTTTTGTTTTGCATGTAGATTATATCTGCTTTGTAGGTATAAAACATTTTCTTCCTATACAATAGGTAGGTAGTTACTAGATTATATCGGTCTTGTTTTCTTCATAAATAGTAGGTAGTTACTAGATAATATTTTAGTTTGAGTATTTAAATATTCAAAATTTAAAAACTGAATAAATGATAAAAAAAATTAAAGAATTTAAATATTTTTATCTGAAAGGGTAAAATTGATATCAAAATAAGTAATTGGATAACTGGACTCGGTCCCAAAAACTATCTAAGTTTTTGGACCTAGATCCAAAAGCCCCAAAGAATAAATACTCATTTTAGCCTCTCATCCATCCTTGTTCAATCTTGATAATTACCCCTGGGTTGGCTACCGAATCGCCGATTGGGAGCAAGATTTCTTCTCTTCTTATTGCCTTCGCATTTCTTCTCCGCCTCTTATATTTTTTATTTTGTCTTTATTTATTTATTTATAAAAAATTGATATAAGATATTGATATAATTTAATCGTGGCTTTTCAAATAAGAAAAAAGAATATAATAAAAAAAAAAAGAGAGAAAATCCTATTCCTGCCGTTTGGATACAAAATACATATAAATATTGTGACTAATTGAGACGAGAAGGAACCTTATAAATATCAGTTCAAAGACCAAAACGCCTAATTGGGCTAATTTTCAATAAAAAAAAAAGTTTTTTTTTAATTTAAAATGGTTCATGAGATTATTATAACTCTTTACTTTGGTCCTTGAAACTGCCAACCGTCAACTATTTTGCTTATTCTGTGAAAAATCTCTATTCAATTGAGGGTATTTTTGTCAAATCAACATTTTCATTTGAACTGATGGTTTTTTCAATTTAACCGAGATTTTTCACAAAAGAACCAAAATGATTGACGATGAACAATCTCATAATCATATTTATTGATTTTAAATCTCAATGACCTAAGTAAAGAGTTATAGCAATCTCATGATTATTTCGGTTAAAACAAACCTTAAAAAATTAAAACTAAATAGAGAGGGGAAAGGAAATAAAAAGAGAAAATCGAAAATAAAATAAAAAAGGGAAAAACAGACGTCTCCTTGTCGTCTCCTCTCGCCTCGTCTGGTGCTGATGGCCAGTTTTAGATCGAAATTCAGCAATCGACTCTCAAACTCTGAATCTAATTTCGTCTCCTTCCTGCTGTTCTCCTCCACTCCCCTCCTCTCTCTTTCTCCCATGAATATAATTAATTAATTCGATTAATCATTTTTTTTTTTCTGATAGAACATCTGCGGCTCCAAGAAAGATTCAATTTTTTGCTGATCACTGGCGATGTAGCAACTGTAAGTTTGTGAAAATTCGTAATTATGGTTATTGATTGCTGGAATATGATCGTATCTGAAAATCAAGCTGTCCAGATTTACTTGATCATGATCTTCTCATTGCTTGTACTGTGAAAAGATGGATAATTTATTGCGAAATGTGCTTAATTTAATGGTGATTTGCTAGGTTTTAAATCCAATTAGTTTAATTTGATAATGGGTATTGGAGATTTTCTCTAAAGGATGATAATTTATATAGAATTTTTAAGTTTTATCTCTTTCGGGTTACTTTTTGTTTCGAATTAGTTGGATTTAGCATTCTTCACAAGGTTGATTTGATATTGTTATTCAGTTTTTATACTTTCTGTTTGACATTGTTGCTCCTGATGAGTAATTGGTCATCTCCTCTCAGCTTTAACTGATATAAACTGCTTTTCTTGTATTTGAAGAATCTAGCATTGATTTTTTGTTTTTTTTTTATTGGAATGGCAGAGTTGATCTTGTGGTTATCCATCTTTGATTCCGGGTTATCTGTCGTGTCACATGATTATTGATTGTGGAAATGGGTTGTAACTTGTAAATGAGCCTGATTCCGACATGAGTTCAACAGTGTCAACATCTCGAGGAATACATTCACCCGCAAGGCTTGCCAGGCACAAATCACCGGATTCTGGGGCTTCTGGTTCTTTTAGCCTGATTGAACCAGACATTAATGACAGTGAAACGGAGTTGCTCTCTGTGTTTTGGAATCAAGACAACGGTTGCTTCTCTGCCGGCACAAGCAATGGATTTCGCATCTACAACTGCGAGCCTTTCAAAGAAACTTTTAGACGTGATTTGAAAAGTGGGGGATTCAAAATTGTGGAGATGCTATTCCGATGCAACATTCTTGTACTTGTTGGTAGCTGGGACAATTCACAATATCCGCCTCACAAGGTTATGATTTGGGATGATCATCAGAGCCGATGTATTGGTGAATTTTCATTCAGGTCTGAGATTCGTGCAGTAAAGTTAAGGCGCGATCGCATAGTAGTTGTTCTTGAGCACAAGATATATGCTTATAACTTTATGGATCTGAAGCTGCTGCATCAGATTGAGACTGTAGCAAATCCTAGGGGATTGTGCTGCCTTTCACACCATCCAAATACATCTGTGCTGGCTTGCCCAGGCCTTCAACGAGGACAAGTTCGAATTGAACATTTTGGGCTGAATGTGACGAAGTTAATCAATGCTCATGATTCTCATATTGCATGCTTCACCCTGACAATGGACGGGCTGCTTCTTGCAACTGCTAGTAATAAGGGTACTTTGATAAGAATATTCAACACAATGGATGGGACTCATTTACAAGAGGTAGCATATTGCATGTGAACTTTTAGTAATATGTTATGGTTGTTCTTCAAGTTTATGATGAATGGCTTCAGATTCCGTATGACAAAATGAATTTTTTAAACTAGCATGTTGTGAATTACTGAATAGAAGAACAAAGTTCATTTGTATTTATATATTAATCTGTTGCCTTTCTGTAGGTACGCAGAGGAGTGGATAGAGCCGAAATTTACAGTATTGCTCTATCTCCAAATGTCCAGTGGTTGGCAGCATCGAGTGACAAAGGTACTGTGCATATATTCAGCCTCAGAGTTAGAGTACTCGGGGAGGATTTATCTGCTCATAATTCTGCTCAAGGGCCAGCAATGTTTCAGCAGAACTCTTCAAATTCCCTGGATCCTCTTATTTCTCCAAACACCGGTGCCAATTCTAGTTCGTCATTGTCTTTCATGAGAGGTAATAAAATTGTGCTCAAAATTTCTTTTCAAGACTACTATGTGTCATCTGCTTGGATACTTCGTGTCTATTTGTTAAAGTGTTCAAGGGACTTTGGTTTGGATTTTTCCGTAACTTCTTGCCCTTGAATGGTTTTAAGTGTTTTCTTCTAAAAATAATCTCTTGGACAATTGCAGGGGTTTTACCAAAATATTTTAGCTCCGAATGGTCATTTGCTCAGTTCCACTTGCCAGAAGACACTCAATTCATTACCGCATTTGGTTCTCAAAACAGTGTCATCATTGTTGGCATGGATGGGAGGTATGCTCCCTCTTTCTATGTGTTTCTATTTGTCCTTGCATTTTCCGCTAGCCTAAAATAGTTGAAATATTCGAGTAATTATTCCTCAACGGTTCATCTAGGTCCATGATTGAAATTACAAGTTATTCCTCAACAGTTCATCTAGGTCCATGATTGAAATTATAAGTAGTTTTGTTTCGTAATGAAGTTTACTTAAAATTGATCCCCCTTAAGTTGTCCCCTTCTTTTTTACCCATTCATTTGTCTCCCACACCTGCTTCGCTGATTTTTTTTCTTCTTCTGGTTTATCAGTTTCTACAAATGCAGTTTTGATCCAGTGAATGGAGGTGAGATGGTGCAGCAGGAATATGTACGCTTTCTAAAAACCGAAGGCAGGCCAAGATAGACTTTCGAATGATTCATGCAACTATACATTCTTTCATCCTGTGTAAATATTGATACGGAATCTCTGTTGGATGTAAATATTTGGAAGTGTTGTGTTCCTTTTCACCGCATCTCGTAAAATAAAGCAATCTTTATAGCTACATTGCCAGAAGCAAAACCTGTCCCATAAATTGCTAGGATTATCAATCATAACAGTGTTGTTTCAGCTTCAGAAACGGCGCAAAACATTGAAACCGAAACAATCTGGTTTCTCGAACAATCTTGATCGTGCATTTTGTCCAAATGTTCCAGGTTCTGGCTTGAAAAGTCTATTAGTCCAGTACAATGGTCGTATGGGAAATACTTGTATATTGAAGAATAATTACAATATCTGTAAAACCCTTTCCATTACAAATCTCTGTTTGGATGTTTAATAGTTGTAATTAAAAAGCAACCAACAGATTTTCATTTCATAAGCTGACGCTAATTACAAACATGGTCAGAAAGGAGGATCAGTTGATATGGTAAGACTAGCATCCTGTAAGCCAGAAGGAACATCGAATCCTGACATGAAGTCATCACCAAAGATCACAGCACCTGCCGCCAGCGCTCCAGCACCGATTCCCATTCCAACACCAGCTGCTCCTCTACGACCAGGCGGTGCTCCAGATGATGGCATGTTGATATACGTCTCCTGCATTCGATCTGTTCTCGGGATAAAAGTAGGTATGTAGCCAACATTAGAAGGTGGGGGAGGCGGTGATGGAGTTCTAGGCGGCTGATAGCTCGGCCCGCCTGCTGGTGGGTAGCTTGGCCCCCCTGCTGGGGGGTAGCTTGGTCTGTTTGCTGGCAGGTAGTTTGGTCTGCCTGCCGGCGGGTAACTTGTTGCGCTGGCTGGTGGGTAGCTTGGTCCGACTGCAGATGGATTGGAATAGTTTGGAAGGAAAGGCATTGGTTGTGCATTTAGGGAGTTGATACGGAATTGATCTTCCGGCCTTTGTTGTCGAGCTACAGGTCGTATCGCTGGTGCAGATCCGTCTCCGGTAGCAAAGGTGATAGTAATGCTGTTATCCATAGGTCCTCCTTCACTGCCTAAAAACAGAATTGCAGTCGATAATCACATCACATTCGAAACTCAATTTATACAAGATCTTTGGAAGTTTTTCAATGAATTATGAATACCTGTGTACGAGGTTCGAGCTTCCATATCCTCAGAAATACGTATTGAGACATCGACGAACCCTTGAGGTTTGTTGGAATTCTTTTTCCGCAACTGGTAGCTCCCAACTTCTTCAGCTCCATGCCTCGGAGCCTCAGAGTTCTTGTTATGCTTAGCCAGAAACTCTCTCAGGACAATAGTTGCCGTCCCCTGAAGCTTTTCCCGGAGGAAGATAGGCTCTCTGCTGTACACCTCAACCTGCAGAGCCAGATCCTGCAAGTCCGCCTCCGAGCCCTCAATCAAGGTAGCAAACTTGGTTCTCCACACCGGATTCTCATTTCCAGAGGCATCGATCTTGGTGCAGTACTTGTTATTCGGATTAGTCCACCCAACAGCATACCACTGGAGCTTCCACAACGAAGACGAACGCCTAAGCCCTCGGGCGGATATCAAGCACACTTCAACCCAGAGCTTCCCCATGCCAGGCTAGTTGAAGGAAAGCGAGGAGCTGAGAGACAACTTTCTTGAAGAAAAAGAAGGGAAGCTGTTTAGCATTATCTGAACTGCTACTTTACTTTGGAGGTGAGATAACATTTATACCGTACCGACATTGTGGGGTAACGGTAACCCCTTTTGTCAAACTTCTTCCCAGCCAAAAGTGCTTCACAGATGGGCAGGAATCGGTAATTATTAATTAACAATAGAAAACGCTCAACTCAAAAAAAAAAAAAAAAAAAAAAAAAAAAACATATTTAATGGATTGGACAGCTGGTAAAGTTAAGGACAATATCAGTGTTGTTAGAGTAGAGCCCAACAGACTTGCTGATCCAAAAATCCAACATGGTATCAAAGCCAAGTTCGAGCCCGTGCATGCCAATGAGCTTGTCACCAAGAAGGAAACAAGCCATGACCCTTAACAGAGAGTCGGCCTTTGAGTTTCATTGAAAACAAGTCTAGACTCTTAACATAGAGCTGACCTGTGTAGATTTTCATGTGTGAACCACTAAATGGGGTTACGCGTGAGAGGAGTGTTGGAATCCCACATCGGTGGGTGCAAAGGAAAATAATGGGTTTAAATATGATTGCCCCACTCTAACTAATATCGAGGCATTTTGTGATAAAATTCCACACCTGACGGATTCCCCCACTCTAGCTCATGTCCTAAAAAATCCAACAAATATGACTTTGAAGGCTATCTGTAACAATGAGACTATTAAGCTTACAGCTAGACTAGCTTACTCCCTCCCTCCTTCAAGAAAAGAGTCCATTTTGGGTCTCGAATGTCGATGCTTCAGCCAAGGGTATATCGAGGCTGGGGTTGACGATTTCTTAGTCTTCTTGCATTCTAAGGTATTTAAAAGGGGTGGAGCTTGCAATAGCTTTCGACCCGCACGTTTATTCATCTGTTGATTGCCTTCAGGATCAGTTGGAACACTTCATATATACATCATTGCAATGGATGCCAAAATGACATCCCCAGAGCCACACCCTTAGAAGAATGACCTGAAACAAGTAATGGAAAGCTTTTCGGCATTCAAACGAGATTGGTATAATTTGTTACCTCTCATCTTCCGAGCAAAGGGCTGCTATGTCATAGATGTCTCTACTTGTGAGTATTCTGCAACAAGTAATGGAAAGCTTTTTTCTTATTCGAGCGATATTCTAATCCACATAGGAAATTGGTTGTGAGAGAGGTTTATAGTATGCAACTGCGAAGATATGTTCCAAAACCAAGTCGGAATGGTATCTGAAATTCCTGTATTGGGTAGGATTAGAACCACCAATTGCGTTTGTCTGATTCCACATAGGAAATTCAGGCCCTGGATGCCAATAATCCAACCATAAACGCTGAAGTTGAAAAGGAGGAATCCAATCTCGACTAGCTTTCAAAGTCAAGTAAATGGTATCCTCCTCCATCTTGCTCAACTATTCGTAGTACCATCCTATTTGCACTAAAATTCTTGTTCAATGGTGGTCCTCAAAGTTCATTTCCGATAAAGCCAGACAAATCAAGACTTTGAAACCGAGTGCTTATTAGAATTTCTCCAGTCAAAATGTTGTAGGACTCAGAAATGTCAAACTCCTCATGCTTTGTGGAATTTCTCCCTGAACCATTCAAACTGTGGTCAGCAATGAAGATTTGAATGGTTCACTAATTGAACACCATTAGAGGTGAAAACAAGGCTTTCTGCTTAATCAAATTTCACTTTTATCATCATAAAAGTGGATAATCACCAAATTAATCTTCTGAGTTCCGGCTGGGAACTGGCAAATAACAATAGAAGTGCTTGTTTGAACATCATAAGTGCTTGTATTTCACCAACGCACGCGCAGATATCCATTGCATAAACCAACACTCAAAATTCGGGAATGGTTGCAAAGTTAGAAACCTGATCATCAGTAGTGTGTGTGTGTGTGTGTATAACAGCTCTAATCAGCATCGCCATGAAGTTGTGTTATATAACTTAAATGAATCAAGTACGTGATGGGGATGAATCCATGAGACATCTCTATATCGATGTTTAAACAGAAACTTGGTGCAACGAAAATTTGAAAACAATGCTTTCAGGTCATATCAAAGTGAAAAGATTGTGTCATTGTAATTCTTATTGTAACATTTGCGACAAAATTACAACCAAGCAAAAGAACAGCATTGTGTCAAAATTATTCAACAATTACACCATAAATTTTTCCTACTATACTATTTAGGAATCTTAAGATAACATTGCTCAATGGCGTGTCTACCAGCAACAAACCAAGTAAACTCCAAAAACCGAACATGAATCCCAATCCCAAGCTAACATAGAACCACTTGTCTTCAAGCAGATTGTATTCTCTGTCTTGCTCAACGGCTGCCGGTATCACCCCTGTTGCACTGCAATCGTCGAGTGGAGCACCACAGAGTTCATTGCCGATAAAGCTGGATGGATCAAGGCTCTGGAGCTGAGTGCTTTCTGGAATCTGTCCCGTCAAATTGTTGTCAGACAAGTTTAAGTGACTCAAGAATGTCAAACTCCTCATGCTTTGAGGAATTTCTCCATCAAGCTGGTTCATTGAAAAGTCAAGAGATTCAATTCGTCTCATGTTTCCAATCTTTGAAGGGATTCCTCCAGTCAAAAGATTTTTTGATAAGTTCAGTGTACGTAAATGGAGTAGGCTGGTCAGTTCCTCAGGGATCTCTCCGGATATAATGTTGTTCGAAAGGTCCATGCTAGTTACCAATCCAAGAATTTCGCGATATTCCACTTTTCTACCCTTGGTCACCAAGATTGCTTCGACTAGGTACCTCCCATAAGAAAAAATGTCAAACAACAAAATATTCGGACTGTTCGAATTTGACAAGGTGGCCATGGCACTAAAATTGTGGAAGCATCTTGGTATTGTCCCTGAAAGATCATTATCCGCGAGGTCCAAGATTTGGAGATTTATGAGATTACAGAGTTCATGAGGAATGTCTCCATGAAGCTGGTTCGAACGGATGTTCAGAAGCATCAAATTTGAGAGGCTTTTCCCTATCCACATTGGTAAGCTTCCGATAAACTTATTCCCACCAAGGTCAACAACAGACAACTCGGTACAGTTCTGTAGGGACAGAGGCACTTCTCCGGATAGCTGATTATTGAGCAACTGCAATGATTTGAGGTTGAACAAGTATCCAATGGAGCTTGGAATGTACCCAGTTAAATTGTTGCTTTCCAAATTTAAGACCGCCAAGTTTTGCCAATTCATCCAACAATCAGGAATTTTTCCGGTGAGAAGATTTTTTCCAAGATTGAGAAGATAGAGTTCTTTTGGTTCGTCCACACTATCACAAAAGAAGCGGGAGACAGATCCGGAAAAGGATGAATTGGAAAGATCTAGCAGATAAACTGTGGAGGGAACCAAAGGTAATGAACCATTGAACCGGTTAGAACCCATGTCGATCACTAACGAAGTGCCAACCACCATATCTTGAACCTCTCCACACAATTAATTGTGAGAGATATTCAAATAAAGTAATTGGGAAGATAAGTTCCAAAACCAAGTTGGAATTGCGCCCGAAAGCCCTGTATTCGACAAGCTTAGAGACCAAACTTGAGTTTGTGATCGAAGCCAGTTAGGCAATTCAGGCCCCAAATGCCAAGAATCTAAGTATAACTGGTGAAGTTGAAAAGGAGGAAGCCAGTTTTTACTAGTATTCAGAATTAATGAGTTTCCTTTTGCATTGAACTCCAGCAGTCTTGTGAGCCTAGTAAAATGGACTTCAGACACCACGCCTTCTAATGAATTATATGACACGTCCAAATTCGTAAGAAACTCGAGCTGACCAATAATTTCTGGAAGAGTCCCATTGAATTGATTGTCAGAGATGTCTAGGTTTAATAAGAATGACAAGTTCCTAGTGACGCTGGAACGGGACCTGATATTGAATTACCAGAAAGATCAAGGTTGCTTAAATTTTTAAAATCTCCTATCTTCTCTGTCAAATGACCAGAAAGATTGCAATAACTCAACGACAAAGACTTCATTCTAGCTGAAGCACACGCACCGGACAAACTGTCGATGATTTCTGATACCTTTCCAACTGTGAAGTTGTTCATTGACAGATCAAGATCCATCAACTTACAAAGCTTTTCCAATGACTTTGGGATTTTCCCTTCCAGCTGATTATTATCCAACCGAAGACTAACAATGGATGTCAATTTTCCAACAGAGCTTGAAATTTCACCCTGCAAGTGATTGCTAGAAAGAAACAAGGACTCGAGATTGCTAAAACTGTACAGCCATTCAGGTATAGTACAATTGAAGAGGTTCGACTCGAGATTAAGAACTTTAAGACCAGTCATATTTAGAATACCATGTGGAATTGGTCCTTCAAGAGAATTGTATCCTAGATTCAAAGAAGCAAGGTCTTTATGGTTGAACAGCCATTTGGGTATCGGAAGACTGAGATTGTTCAACGAGAAATCAATTTCCCTGAGAAAGCTGATGTTTTGTGGATAGTTTGGGATTGGACCCTGGAAACCACAGTTACCGAGGGAAAGAGAAACTAGATTTTCAAGACTGAAAACCCATTTGGGAATCGAAGAAGCAAACATGTTTGCAGAAAGATCGAGAATGGCAAGTGAAGTAAAATTGATTGAAGGCAGAGGTGGAATGCGATCAAGTCTGCAGTCGAACATATGCAACTCTTTCAAAGAGGGAGCATGCTTGTGACTTGCAACCAGTCGGATGCTTTGCTAAGATCAACAGAGTTCATGTCCAGGTGTTCCAAATGAGAGAGACCAGAAATCCATTGAAGGTTCTCAGCCTTAAGCTTGTAATCACTGAGAGAGAGGTAGCGTAGACTCGAGAGATTTCCCAACTGATGAGAAATTATTCCCGCGAATCCTGCTTTTGAGAGGTTAAGATATCTTAAACTTCTAAGAGAACCAAAGAACTTTGGAACCTGTGCTTCTTGAAAATCATTGTTGCTTAAGTCCAAGTAGTTGAGATGCTTTAAATTGAGCAAAGAATGACTTACCTTGCCACCCAAGGAAGAGTTGAAATTCAATGAAGGGTTGGAATTACCAAGATGAAGCTTGCTGGATGTGACCAGTTAAGTCATCGCAGATAACTCCGGTCCAAGTACAACAGTCGGAATCTTCTTCATCAACCCACGAAGAAAGCCGATTTGCAGGGTCCTTCAGATCTTGCTTGAACATCAAAAGGGATTGCTTTTCGCTTTCTTTGCAAAGCGAAGTCCAGCCCAGATTTTCATTGCAGGAACCAAAACTAATTGAAATGGTTGCAATAGCTAGAGCCCTGACTAGAAGGAAAACAACTCTCATGGTTATGTCCATAAAGTGTTAGTTTATGAAGTAGGTGATGTGCGCGCCCGTATATATATACACATGCACAATGGCAGACAGTCAGACTTGTTGAACCTTTGACAATGTTGAAAGGTTGAAAATTCATACAGAAATAATCAAAGCTTTGATTTCTCTTTTTCTTTTTTTGGACTTTCATCTTCTCCCGAAATTAATGGAAGGCAAAGTCACCAGCCTTCGTTTTCTTGAAAAGTGACGGATCAGCGTTCCATCGGAACACAGGAAATCTCGAAGTGGTGCTCTGACCAAATTGAGTGGTCGGTGGTGTCGAACAATCAGCCAATACTAGTATTAATAAAAAAGTTCACAAGTGGCAGCTCACTCGTGAATACAAGTTATATAGAACAATCACATGAGAAATGTAGTCGAAATACAAACTTTTATATTCAACGGGTAAAAACCAAGTCTTGCAATCTATAAAAGTAGCTCCATGTATTGAAAAACTACATCGTGAAGTTTAACTATTCAGGAATCCCGAAAGAAGAATGCTCCATGGCATGTTTACCAGCAAAGAACCAAGCACGCTCCAAAAACCGAAGAAGAATCCTAGTCCCAAGCTCAGGTAGAACCACTTATCTTCAAGTAAACGGTATCCTCCTCCTCTGTCTTGCTCAACTGTTGGCGGCACCATCCTATCTGCACTGCAATTCTTGTCCAGTGGAGCTCCGCAAGTTCCTTAGAGTAGTTTCAAATTGTTGCAGGACAAGTTTAAGTTGCTCGGAAATGTCAAACTCCTCGTGCTTTGGGGAATCCCACCATCAAGTTGGTTCATTGATAAATCCACAGACTCTTAACCATTTCATGTTACCAAGTTTTGAAGGGATTCTTCCGGTCAAAAGAGTTTTGGATAAATTCAATGATTGCAAACCGTGGAGGCTGGTCAGTTCCTCAGGGATCTCTCCCGATATCATGTTCTTTGAAAGGTCCATGATTACTACCAATCTAAGCATTATCCAACCATATTCTGCTTCTCTCCCCTTTGTCACCAACTTTACATTATCCAGATAAGTGTCGTACATCAACAATACCTTGTAAACATCTGGCGTGTTGGTCATGGCACTGAAATTGTTGAAGCATCTTGGTATTATTCCGGAAAGGTTGTTATGTGCAAGGTCCAATACTTGGAGACTTTTCAGCTGACAGAATTCATGAGGAATGTGTCCTTGAAGCTTATTTGAACGAATGTTCAGAACCCTCAAATTCGAAAGGCTCTCTCCAATCCATGTTGGAAGGCTTCCGGAAAGCTTATTTTGGCCAAGGTCAACAAGAAGCAAATTCGAACAGTTTTGCATGGACAAACGCAATTCTCCGGATAGATGATTATCTTGCAACTGCAGTGCTTTCAGCTGTTTCCAGTACCCTATGGAGATTGGAATATTCCCAGTTAACTTGTTGCCTTTCAAGTTTAAAGTTAACAACCATTTCTAGTTCATCAAACAATTAGGAATTTCTCCAGTGAGAAGATTGTCCCCAAGATAAAGAGAAGTAAGTTCTTTTGGCTCATCCATCCTATCACAGAAGAAGTGGAAGAGAGATCCAGAAAGTGAAGAGTTTGCAAGATTTAGTATCCTTACTGAGGAGGAAACCAAAGGCAATGACCCATTGAATTGGCTAGAACTTAGGTCAATATGACGTCCCACAACTATATTTTGAAGGTTCCCATACATTTGGTTGTGAGAGAGATTTAAAGTTCCCTTGAGAGAAGTAGTGGTATTTGTGGAGGGATGGGTCGAAACAGAACCTTGGAAATCACAACCTTTGAGAGAAAGAGAGACAAGATTTGTAAGACTGAAAGCCCACCTAGGCATCAAAGAATTAAATCTGTTCTCGGAAAGATCAAGGATGGAAAGCGAAGTAAAATTTATGGCAGGTAGAATAAGTGGAATGTGATCGAGTTGACAAATGACCATACGTAACACTACCAAAGAGGGGAGCATGTTTACTGGTCTCAACCAATTAGATGCTTTGCTAAGATTAACAAAACTCATATCTAGGTGTTTCAAGTGGGGATGACCAGAAATCCATTCGAGATTCTCAGCCTTCAGTGTGTCATCGTGGAGGCCAAGATATCGTTAGATTTGTGAGGTTTCCCTGTTGAGGAGGAATTAATCCTTGGAAACCAGCTTCTGAGATGTTAAGATATCTTAAAGTTTTAAGAGAACCAAAGAAGCTAGGAATCTGCAATCCTTGAAACTTGTTGTAACTCGAGTCCAAGTACTTAAGATGCTTCAAATGAAGCAAGGAAGGATTTACCTTACCACCCAACCAAGTATTACTGTAGTAGTTATCTCCAAAAGACTCATGGATGTCCTGATGGGAATTGGGATTAGTGAGGCGGAGCTCGCGAACATGACCAGTTAAGTGATCACAGACAACTCCAGTCCAATTGCAGCAGTCTCCATCACTAGTCCATGACGAGAGCCGATTTGAAGGATCCTTAAGATCACTCTTCAACATCAGAAGCGCTCGCTTCTGACCTTCTTGCAAGGCACACCCGGACTTCCACTGCGTAAACCGACACTGAAAAATGGAATAATGGTTGCAATAGTTAGAAACCTGATCATCAAAGGTAAACCAGCTCTCATGGGGTTCTCCATAAAGTTGAGTTATATGAATCAAGTATGAGCAATGAGGGTGTACACACACACACACACACACACACACACACACATATATATATTTCTAGATTAACAATTTCCACAACAAATTTCTTAAAGAAGTTATATAATCTTTATTTAAGGAATATAAACTTATTTTTAGTCCACATTATTGACTAGATTTCAAATCTTGAACGTCAAAGGTTGAAATATTTCAACCTTATTTCCTAGTTTCTATGATTTATTATTATTGACAAGATATTTAGTTTATGCGCATAAATTAAAAATCTAGTCAATAATAATAAATCATAGAAACTAGGAAATAAGGTTGAAATATTTCAAGATTTGAAATTTCAACGTTTTACGTTCAAGCATGAACGGTGAACTACTCAATATCCAATTGTTAGAGCTTTGATTTAGATTGTACAAATAGTTATGCTCGCGTGTTACTATGAGATTAAAAATATTGTCTAAGGTGCAGAAAGAATTGAAAATATGTGTCAAAGAATAGTGTTTATACATGTATTACATCTGCAAACAAAATATACATATTGTTAGAAAGAAAGTATGTGTTTACAAAACTTGTGGTGGAAAATATGACAGAATCCTGGAACACTCAAATTATTGAATTAGTAAACAAACTTATGTGTATTTATACAATACATACATGTGTGTGTTATACTTGGGGTCAATTCATGAATAAGACTAAATAGAGATGGTCTTTTTCACCCTGATGAAGTAAGAAAACGTACGAGTATTTTGACTTTTACCACTAGAACAAAGCCCCGTCCTTATTTTTCACGAGTCAGTTCACCCCATTTCATAAAGGACGGAGCTAGAAGTTCTTCTAGTGGCGGCAACCCAAAAAATAACTAGCAAAATTTTAGTATAGCATGGTTTACACTCATATCATAACGAGGATGATTTCAAATAATAACGTATCATAATTTCATTGTTACAAAATTGCACTGTAGTAGTGAAAAGTGGTAATGTGAATAGAAAAATATTAACACATGGGAGGGGAGAGAGGAGTTTTTCTGTTTGAATGATGGAACAAAAGCACTTGTGAATCGTAATCATATAATATTTAATATAGAGTAGAAGCAGTTTTTAGGTAATGCTTGATATTAGTAGGTTGGAATATTTAGACCTTCAAACTTTGAATGGTTCAGTGATTGCCCAGCATACGACCGGAGTCTGAAAGTGGAATAGAAAACAGTGCATGCTTCCAGTCCCAGGTCGATCAAAATTCAAATTTTTTGTCATCGTAATTTCAAAGAATTAGTCTTTTATTTATTTATACTAGCTTAAATAAAACATATTATGTTTCACGATTTGACTTTGATCCCAAGATAGCTCTGTTTTCTTGTTCGAAAATTGCCCATTTTTGCAGCCGGGGACATACTTGGTTTCATCAAATTTTCAAATGTCGTGCCTTCCTTCAGTTGTCCACAGGCCAGCTAAGGCAGCGAGCTTAGTAAATCCAACCCGTGTACAACTATATATATACAAGCGATAATGAGAGAGGAAATTTGAACTTACAACCTTCGAGACAGAAGCAAATGTTAACCTTTTTAACTACAAGCCTTTGAACCAATGTGGATGGTTATCAACGATGCTCCGATCTTAGTCAAGCTAATGTTATCAATCAAAAAGTTGGCAATTGAAAGCAACAAGCAGGAGATGGATTGTAATTGTCTAGGAAAAACCAAAACCGAAAGTTGAGTTCATCTCAGCATTTTCATAAAAACAACAAAGCATAACTTCAAACTCTTATGTTCTCACGAAATGGAAATGGTACAGTAAAATAGAACTGAGGGCACACTGACATGTTTAGTCACGCAACATATTCATCCAACCTTCATGGCCGAAAGTTCCACGGGTTCCAATCACATCCCTCAGAGCTTGCACGAAGAGCTCCAGCATTTGATCCCCGTGAGTGCTGAAAGTCACAAGGAAACATGTTTGTTTCCGCGGCACCTAGCCCTTGTGAGCTTGCAGGAGGAGCTCCAGTGTTTGATCCCCCTCCACTCCGACCATGCCCAAACCATTGATCTATGTCTGACAAATTTATAGGCCTCATGCTGATTCCAGAGGCTGGTGTGCCCGAGCCTTGCCCTTGCTGCTGGAATGGTTTAAAGTCAGGTATTTGTGGTCCTAGCCCCGCTTGCCTCAACCCGTTCAGACCTTGGCTCGCCTGCTCGAAACTATTACTTCCATACGGTGTGCTTCCACTACCACCCATAGGTTGAAATTGATGCTGTATACCTCCAAAACAATTTGAGTTCAGCCCATGTGTGGAGCCAAAGGCTGGGCTCCGACTTGAATTAGAAATAATTGGAGGGCATCGCCACCATATGGAAGAAGACGGTGACTGGCCATAAACCTTTTCACAGTCCCCCTTTAGATCTGAAGCAGGCAGATCAGCTATAAAAGGATTCCTACCCCTACCAACATCATTCCCAATGCTGTTGTTAAACAAGGCATTGATTGAGGGTGCAGTCCCAATAAACTGACCATTATGGTGCTCAATGTTTGTTTGAGCACCGGAGTATAGAGATGGGGTGGACCTCCGAAGGATAGTTGAAGGTTGAGTATTTATGATGCCATTCTGAAATAATGCCACATTAAGATCTAGATCACTAAACTGAAAGTTTGAAGTTGAATTACAAGGATTAAGAACTCCGGCTTTTTGTAACTTCTGCTCAGCAACCCCTTGCGCTGTTACAAGCAAATGCAGAATACTGAATTAAGTCTTTGATCAATATCTCATATGAAATAAGAGTAGTCAAGTACTTTATAATTACTGTAGCCAAAATGAAAATTTCAAAGTTGAACTTAGGGCATGCGTAGTTTGTACTTACACCGACCCCTTAAAGGCATCCCATTAGTTGACCTATCAGCAGAACTGTTCATGATGTTCTTGCTCCTCTTACCAGCTCGAGATATTTTCGAGGAACATGCACTTTCAAAACTTTTATAATCTTTCTCTAGGGCTTCAAACAACTCCACTGCTAGATTTTTCATATCACAAGCCTGGACAACCATAAATTGAATATAGTTAAGGAGAAAATGGAGATTTCAAGAGCATAAAATGTTGGTCAACCTTGACAATAACAACAGTGCTCAGTGGACTGACCTTTCGATTAAAAATGGAAGATGGAGCGTTGTATGACATTGCATTACTGAATACCAAAAACACATCATGCTGTACATCAACCAAATGAACATCAAAACTAAAGCACCAGATTTGTGTATCAGTATTAACAAATAATTCACTATTAAGGTTACAATCACATATGTGATATGGAACACAGTTTGTTTTAATCCTACCACCATAAAGTAGAACAAAGACTAAATTTGATAAGGAAACTTATGAACCAAACCCAGCCGACCTGTTTACGCCTGAAACAAATGTGTACACACATGCTGACTCAAATTTTCAGCAAATACAGAAAGGGAGAGCAGATTAAATACAGAAGCTCAAATACCAGTTCTCTCTTCCGAGCCTTACTGAAAGGAAAAACAAGTAGAGAACTAAGGAGTATAGAATCACACCTGAAATTCTTCCAGTGTTCTGTAGGTTCCTCCACTGAGTTTTTCTGAAATCGTGCCGAAATCCATTGGCTCTTTAATGATATCATTGTACCCCTTAACCTTTCACATCAAGAACCATATATTAGCAACTACACAAGTATATACACTTGGAAAGACCATAAATAAAGAAGGCAAACCTCTTGTGGGTTTACTGGTTTTGCAAACATATTGTACAAGTCTTTCCTGTAGTTAAAGTTGAAGAAAGATAAAGGCATTAACTTTCTTGATGAGGAATTCACTGAAGAAGGGGCTAATCACTTATACGAGCAAAAGAAAAGAAAAATTTCACATCATAAATATTATAGCATGGCTAACTATAAATACTCATTAAGAAAAGATGTCATAACCCAATGTTTACTTTTGCAGAACACTAAGAAGCAGTTCAAGCTTCCCTGATTCTGGTAGAGGCGTCTCCGATGGCACAGCTATTTGATTAAATACAAGAAAAATGAATTAGTGAGTCTTTTCCATCATAGCATATATATATATATATATATATATATATATATATATCAAGTTGCAATTTAAATCTTAAAAGAAGAAGTACATACCACCACCGGCATTTGTACTATTGTTGTTGCTCGAATTACCAACCTACAATTTATGAACAAAAGAAAAAAGAATAAAAAACAATGACACCTGTGCAAAATCCACAATAAATAAACTTGTCCTTCCATTCAAAATAAAATAACTTAAATAAATATAAGTATTTAGAAAATAATGCAGAGTGCCTATCAGATTTTATTACTAAGAAATTATGCTTGATTAAAAAAACTCAAAACAATAAATTAATCGTCATATAGTCTGATATATTTATTTTATATCAGGTATACATACATAAATACATATTATGTTAACACACTTCAACATTTCCACCTCTTGTTCAATAACTGTTCCAGTTTTCATAGCATTACTAAGACATACCTCTGTTATCAATGGATGCTCATTTCTACTTGCAGCCAGATCTTGGACAGGTCTACTCTTAACCCTTTTTCTTCTCCGTTTCTGGCAGGAAGCATCTTCTTCAGAAGACACATCCTCTTCTGCATAACATATTACTGTGCCCTTACTTTCCGCCCTTGATTCAAGCTCCACCAATCTCGCACTTCTTCTTCTTTCCCCATTCGACATCATTGCTATTTGTTATTTTCCAGGCTCCTGATCCATAAATCAAGTGATAAATATTAGGGATGAAGCATGGTAATTTCAAGAAGACTATTAGATATTCATGTTATATATTCAATTTTGGAAAAGTAAAAGTATCAGAAAAATTAAAGGCACTGAAATTCCTTGTGATTCCACAAAAAATTAGTTTTAGTAGACAGGTAAGGGTTACATTGGATATATTTGTTCCTAAACTAATTTGTGGGGAGGTTCTCAGACTTCACAAAACCAAGTTGATAGGTGCTCTTCTTACTACAAAACTCACTTAAGAGCATAGTTAGAAAACTCACTGAACTTTCATATTCTCTCACATCCTCTTAGATAGGAAACCATCACATCTTTCAGGCATTTTTTAGATTGGACCCCCTTTTCATCTCATTTAAAAAACTGATTTGCATTATAAAAGAAAAATCGGAAAAAATTGAATGAACTGATGCCACCTGATCTTAGATTTAGTGATAAAACACAAATTCAGTATTACTCAACTGAAACATTGCAAGTTTTACAATAAATGCAAACCCAAAAAAGCAAATCCACAATCGTCTTTTATTCTGAAGAATGAAATATGAGTAATTATGTTAACTTTCATAAGCTAAATTTCTTATTCACAGTGAAATATGAGTAATTATGTTAACTTTCTTAAGCTAAATTTCTTATTCGCAGTTCAATCTCCTAAAACGACACTTCAGGGAATTTTCTAGTCCAATTCTAGTAGAATACGTATTCCAAAAGAACAACAGGCAACCTGTTTCTGCATCAATGAGTACTACCACCACCATATTTTGGCATTTTCCACAAAAGAAGACGCATGAAAAAAAAAAACGCATACTGAATGACAGGCTACATAATGAACAAAGCAAATGTGCTTTTTCCTTATTTATTTGTTTCTTCATTATATTGCTAATTTGATGGACCTGTTTTTTCTATGAGGAAATTTTCTGTCTTTTGCACCTAGAAATCCCTCAACCTGCATTCTGGACTTGGATTCGAATTAGGACATGGCAGAACCCTATGATCCTTTGACATTCTAATTTATAACCAAAGTAGAGTATACAAAGTTTTCTTTCCCTCCATCCATTTGACTTCTCCCCCTTGGGCATGAACTGTTTAACAATCTGATAAGCAATCAGGTGTTGGAAGTTGGAACTAAGCTCAGATGCCAAAAGTAATACGACTCTGGGTTTAGCTTTATATCAAGCTAGTGTGCTTGAAGATCTGATGCCAAAGCAACTGGTTCCAAGCCTACTCCAAATCTATCATTTTTTGTACCAGCCGCAACAATTTTTACATCAATGAAGTTCCAGGACTACTCCAAATCCATCAATTCTTACCAATCACAACATTTTTGGCATCAGAGCTTCTCTAAGAGGCAAAATCTTAACACATCAATATCATAAATTGATGACAACCACAACATAAATGATAGGATTGAATCCAATTAAGCCCAAAACACCACTTGATATAAAAACAGTTAAAGAATCAACAAGGTACAAAGCCTTTTGGGATGGGCTAAAAAAAAAAATTTCACTCTTATATTTATGATTATCAGAAATACTCTTCCTTTCTAGCAGGACTCACCTACCGGCAGATTACCTTGATTATTGTAAATCTGATATACGTGCAACTGATCTACTCAAAACAATTCACCACTGGTAAACCTTCAATCCCTTTATATCCTGATCATGGCAGCAAAAATGATTAGTGAAAATACAAAAACATAGAAAGATTATCAAAGAGCAATCAGGATCTGCAATTGTTCTTCGTAGACTCTCCTACGGCCATCAAACACAACTGAAGACAAAATGCAAGACTTTCATTCAAAAAAGAAAAGCAATAGTTACCAATTGCTCTTCTTCAAGAAACCGACCAGAGAAAGAATTTACAAGACCTGCGCCGCGATAACGTCAATCCTCATTGCTCAAACAAACCCTAAGAAGGCCATTTTATAAAGTGCCTCAATAAATACCACCCCCATTTAAGGTAAGCTAGGTGGATTTTATTGGATATGAACGAATAATGACTAGCACGGGACACCCGGCGCATGAAGCACTTTACCTGACAAATGCGTTCTGCTGAACAAGCGCAGTGGCATTTGTCACATCTGGCAAAACACTGATAGTGAGAATAATGCATGGTTCAAAAACAAAACTTAGCGGTTAAACTCAGATTTACTTCGCGGTGATAAAAGCGATTAAAATGAACAAGAGCTTTAATTTTTTCAAAAGTCATGTAAATGAAAATAAAATGAGGAGTAACAAATTATTACTTTGTTTCATTTCTATGTGTGATTTTGAATTCATTCCTCAGAAGCCTTTACAAACCAAATCTTCACTATTATGGCAATTTCTAAGTAACTCTCTTGATGAATGAACAAAAAAGAAAAACACATATCTAGCTTAGATATGATTTCTGAAAAATGCATCATCCGTTATAGAACTTTTGAACTAAATCAGTAAATGAAGCACTTGATAATGCCTACAAACTCCTTGTGTGTTTCCCAAATATACTTCATTCGTTAGAGACTAGAACTAATACACTATTGGACTTTTAGAAGCTCTTGATTAAACCACATTAGTTTCTACATCTATTTATTGATCAATGCCTTGTGCTCAATGCTTTCGAACACGAATCAATTATGTGATAAGGCTAGTTCATATGGTACATACTACAACGAAAAAAGTAAGTAACCATTCATGACTAAAAATCAAGTCAATTATGTTAAATTTTTGTTAAAAACGGCACTTAAATAAACAGGAAAATGCAGAGGCGGGCATACCAGTATCCATCTCGGCAACCATTGGAAACCGACTTATGGTGGTTTGAACCAATCCCAAGTACTAAAGAAGATTCTTGCAATATCTACTCTCACTGCAAAATCAATTCAATAATTGCATAAACTGCCTATGCTGAAAATTAACAAAACCCTAAGAGAGAAAGACAGAGTAGAATAAAAATAAAAATTATGGGTCTTCTTACAAATACTCACTCTCAAATTTGTAAGCAATGATGAAAGCCCCAGAATTGTTGGACCCAGATGAATGATAAGGTGTTCTTGCACACTCTGAGAGTCTGAAGATTTTCCAAGCAGCTGGAGCACTCAAAGTTGTGATCTTTTGGGGTAATTTCAGTGGTTCTTCATATGAAGGGAGGATTGAGAGCCCAAAAGTCCATAACTTTGATGGGTTGCACTGACCTCCTTCTTCTGGGTCGGAATCTGACACCATTATCGCCATTGAAGTAAAAGAAGGCGGTGCTGAATCGATGCTGCTTCTTTGGTCTCTGTGAATTTCAGGAAACACGGTGGAGGAGGAGGAGTTCGATACGCTTGTATAGAATTGCAATTTGCAAAGCGTCTAAAAAATCTCGTGATGGTTTCAATGCAAGTTACAAAGTTGCAACAGAAACAACATAGGCGCCAATTCAATCATGTTTCGCGTAAATTTGGTACGACACTACGACTTCTTCAAGTTTTCCTTTCCTACAATTTTTTTATTTTTCGTGAAATTACATTAATCACCCACATATTCTTACATTACATCAATTTTCTAGGGTTACACCAAGGAATTTTTGTCAACAATACAAAAAAAAAAAATTTAATTAGGGTTGGATTATTCACACATTCTTTTTTATATTTTATGTACTTTTATCAATTTTTAGTTATCAAATCGAATGCATTAATGAGAATAAAAAAAATTAATAAAGAATGTTATGAGACGTGAAAAAAAATGTGTAGATAGCATTACCAAAAATTGTTGTGCATTCTTTTATGTTGTATGTGACTCCATGATTTTATAAGGAGATTGTTATTAACTCCGTGACACCTTATCATGCACTTATTTTTCTCTTATTTGGTTTATTAGAGAGAAGTTCATGATGACTTTGTTTGAGTGCATTCCTCTTATCCGAATGTAATGTACATTTTTCTTTTAGATCCATAGATCGGTCGATTATAATGACGATGTAAATTTGCGAATTTCATTCGAATGCATATTATCGCCCTATTGGAATGACGATGTAAATTCACTAAGTTATGTCTGAATTTGCTTTCTGTATTGTTTATTTGGTTATGAAACAATTACTATTGATTTCATGAGTAAATGTTGTTAACACCTTCAAGTGAGATGAAATGTGAAGAAATTTCAACTCCTAATAAATAACGAGTCAGTTTTTATTACAAGTAAATCAAAACTTGACATATGTATATAAATACTAGATAGTAATCGGGCAACGAAATTTTAAAAAGAACAATAATTTATATAAGAAAACGTTCATCTACATTCCACCATCCCACATTTTGCAAACATGACATATCTTATCGATATAATTCCGATCAACAAACACCTAGCTATCTGCTTGGGATTTGGATCCCATCCGGACCCAAATTGTGAAGATCCTAGGGATCTTCACATCTTAGTTATTCATCGTACATCGTCTGGTCAGAAATTATTTGACCTTTTTATTTAAAATTAAACACAAATACTACTTGACGAATACTGACTGCATGATGTATAGTGAACGGCTAAGATGTGGAGATCCCTAAAATCCCTACAAAATGAATCCGGAGAAGATACTCTTCCATCTGCTTGAATCATTTTGGCTTATTTTTAAATCTGTCAACAGATTTTCTGGAGAATAATATGTACACCATTTCCTGGCCCCACAATCATTTTGTAGGCAGGGGAATGCTTGTATTTTGGAGATAGAGAGAAAGAAAACTTGGAGATAACAAGTGAGAGCACAACCTTCAGTTCAACCATGGCTAAGTTTTTGCCCAAACATGTCCTAGGCCCCAACCCGAATGGTATATAAGCTTGGGGAAACTTGCATGCCTTTGAGACTCCATCAGTGAACCTCTCTGGTTTGAACTCATTTGCATCTGGTCCCCAAATTTCTGTGTCTCTGTGCAATGTTGGGATCAATGTCCATAAGCATAAGCCTTTTGGAACGGTCATGTTTCCCACTTGAGTGTCTTCGAGTGCCTCTCTCGACACAAATGCGGCTGGCGGATATAGACGCATGACTTCTTGAATAACCATGGCCATCTGCATGGTCAAACAATCTAACATGTTATGTTTTCAGGTGGACTATTGTTTCAATGTGGAGACAATACGTAGTTGTATTGTCACACTGTCAATCTGGATCGTCAACTTAGTAAGACTTTGTTTGAATGTATAGTGACAACATAGTATGGTATCAAAACATTACTCACATTGAACATAATTAAGTAACATAACGAGCAATGTAAACACCCGTACCGTTTTCAACTGAGGGAGGGAGTTTGCGTCCGGCAGGCCATCCGGGCAAGCTTGAACCAACTCCGTCCTGATTCGGGCTTGCCACTCGGGATGTAAAGCGAGAAGCATCAAACACCAAGAGGCAGCAACAGCTGTGGATTCATGGCCTGCAAAATATATGTTCTTGCAGTTGTCAACTATGAAGCGCTTGGATGAACATTTCCCTAGGGTTTGGTCATTGATGGCTCCCTCTAGTATTGTCTGCAACAAATCTTTTTGGTCACATGAGCCTTCTCTTTCTTCCACTGCCTCCCAGATCAAAGACTCAATCTCCCTCTCCAAACAGCCTATCTCGTTTGTCTTCTTCAATCCACTGCATTGTTCAACATTTATGAATTATTTTTTCGTGTAGTGACAATCTAATGTAATCTAAACTGCCAATTTGGCTACGCTCAGATCTGCAGTTTAGTGTACATTGTTAAATAATGGAAAGTTTACGTACCCCAAATTACTAAAGAGGAAGTTTTGCTTGGATATCACTTCTTGAAGACTTCTAAGTTTTTTGAAAATCTCTTTGCCCTTTACGTAAGAGCTTCCAAAACAAGCTCTTGATATAACATCTGCAGAGAAATCTCTCAAATCCTCATCCACCTGAATCTCCGCTCTCACACCGCCTTGTGCTTCAATGGAGTCCTCCCATTTTCTAAGCAATGTCTGTCCAGACTCCATCATCAGCCACACCATGCCCTGCCACATTATCTCAATGATAAGTCTTAGTTTACATATTAGTCATGGAATAAAACAATTTTTCATCTTTCGAAATTTTGATTCGAAACTGGGTTTAATTACCTTGACTTTGTCTGAGAAGAACTCGGGGGCAACAATCTTCCTTTGCTGTGACCAAACAATGCCATTGGACCTCAAAATGCCATTGCCAAGCATGGGTGCAAGTCTCTTGCTTACATAAGAAGGCTTGCCTAAATCCAAATTCATACACTGGTTCATCTCCTTCACTATCTCTGGGTTGTTCACATACAAATGTTGCCTCATTCCTGTGGAATATGTGTACACTGGACCTGCAAGCATTTCGTACTTCATGTCACTACTTTTCTTACCATCAGATAAAAGAGAGATTATAACTTGGAACATCTTTCAACGTTCGAAAGAGAAAGTACAGTAAGATAAGAGCTTCTTTGAGAATATTTATGAAGGAAACACTTTTGCTTTTAAGTGTTATTGCTGAACACACTATTATTAGAGGCACATCGGAAAATTCATTAAAAATCTGAAAATTCTTCCCATCATTCCTGACAAAACACTTTTGAATTTTGACTTTTTCTAACCAAATCATGTTAGAGCGTTTACAGTTATGTTCAAGCGTTTTTAGTCATTTGAAAAAATAGTTATGAATTGATCATGAGCATATTAATACATGATTTGGAGGATATGCCCACTTACCAAAGGAATTGAACAAGGTAATAAAGAACAGAAATGAAGCCAATTTTGATCATTCGAGTAGTTCAGATATGGCCCTCCCATGGTACAACCATTTTAATCATTACTTAATACTCGTAAACCTTCATCCAAATCTTCAAACTTTTATTAAGTAACTTTTATTTTTTGTTATATTATCAATCATGCCATGTGACATCCCACATCGCCCAGGGGCGTGATCCTTATATGTATATTCCCATCTCTATCTAGCACGAGGCTTTTTGGGAGCTCACTGGCTTCGGGTTCCATAGGAACTCCGAAGTTAAGCGAGTAGCGCGCGAGAGCACTCCCAGGATGGGTGACCCATCGGGAAGTTCTCGTGTGAGTTCCCAGAAACAAAACCGTGAGGGCGTGGTCGGGACCCAAAGCGGACAATATCGTGCTACGGTGGTGGATCGGGCCAGGGTTGTGGTGGGGACCCGGGCCGGGATGTGACATGCCACATCAACAATTTTGGTTGATAATTTTGAGAATAAGTATTTTTATAATCTAATACTACTATATAGTAGATGTGGCCCTCCAATGTTCCAATCATCCTAAATAAAACAGTAAAATTCTAGAATATTGCATTAAAATTTTAAACAAAGTGGTCACTTAAAGCTACGATCTAAAGATATTTATCTATATTTGTAAGTGAGAGGTCTTAAACTGATTCTCACCAAAGAAGAATTCGAACCAGATTATTATGGCTAGTCCATTGTGAGACTTAACTAACTCTCCCGCTTATTTGTGTAGATAATATCGTATGCAGTAAAAATATAAAAAAAAAATTATTATTTTACTTAGTTTAAAAAATTGACATCCCATATTTAATTGTATCTTAAAATAAAGAGAATATAATTTGAAAGTAACAAGATTTAATATTTCTCTATTTGTACACCTTGGATTCTATTCATTAGTTCTAGGGCCCGAGAAATTGACATGATGTTTATTTATTAGCAAAAGAAATGAAATTTGAACATAAATACAGAAGAATGAATACATTGTATAAACATTGGCTTAAGCATTTGCAGACTATGATATTTTCTTTTTACCTTCATTGTTAAGTGTGTGTTATTCACTTCGAATCCAGAAATTGATCTTTGAAAAAGCTGTACTCATTCGGCATCTTGTACTTGTTATGTATTAACAAATCTCTCTATCGCTTCTTGTCGGAAAAAAAAACACACGATATTTTTATCTATTTTAACTTATATAAGATTGAAACATGAATTGAAAAGACACATTGTTCATACTAATTGGCTAAAGGGTAAACGTAAGGTAGATCAAAATTTGAATTAAATTTACAAACTAAATGATGTATTACCAATATAAAATAAGTATCAACAACCATATTATTTTTTTAAGGGAACTAAATAGTAGCTTCTGCCATGACAGTTCATCTTTTCGAAGACAAAGAATAATCACAGACAACAATATATTCATAAAATTTGATTTAAAATTTTGATTTCTCTAATATTTCTAGAAAAAACATATCCACAACTCTAACATGGTTTAGCTTTGACATGCACTAGTCAAACATGACAGGTGTGTATGGAATCCAAGCATCTTAAAAATGGTTTGCATAGGCCAGATTCCGCCAAATCCCATTTGATTGACCGGGACCCTTGACTCCCCTCTCCAATCTCCAAAATATTCGACATATCCCAGCAAAAATCAAATTCTTATGAACTCTATTTTCTTCTAGCTTTATTATATCCATTCATTTGTTTGGATTTATTTCCCTGATAATT